TTTTCATGACGGATCGATTAGTGATGGTCACAAACTTCAGAAACGCTAGCTTCACCGTCAAAATTGCCGATTTGTCAATGCAGAACTTTTCAAAATATACTTCAAAGTTCAAAATTTGCTTAAAAATTTTTATTCTCTAATCAGTTGAGACTGCAGAGTTTTAGCTTGCCTGACCTAAAATGAAGCAAATTTTCGATTGGTTTTCGTATCCGAATCAGAAATTATGGATTTTTTCGTCAAGTTTTAAATATAAATAGATATATTCTCGATAGTATTGCCTGAATAAATAGTATCTGGAGAGAAGATTTGTAGGATACAATACTTGAGTAGGAACAGTGTGCCTCGTGACGTGTAAAGCTGTAGGTACTTCGCACGACAATAGCTGGATAACGCAACATCGTTCACACACGTTTCGTGTACCTTCTTAGCTTATCACTTTATCAATTACAGTGAATGGGATATTGACTTTGAGTAGGGAATGTTAGGACATGATTGGATCTTTTGATGTAAAGTAAGAATAGCTCATCGCATGTAATACTCAACAAGCTAGTATATTTTTACTACAAGCTTACAGGAAAAATGTTTCATCCTCGATAGACTCGGCCTGGGTCAGCTGCCTTATAGAGAGAAACATATCTATTCATTACTATAGCTCATCTTATAAATACCTCATATTCACGTTGTTATCAATCTACCTTTTTGTTCGTATTGATTCGTGATTAAAGGGACAGTTTCAATATTCCGTATTATTACAACCTGTTCCTGACCATACATTTTTCTTGTACGATTTTAAAGCTTTTTTCGAATATGAGTGTTGTGCGTTATAATATGGTAAACACTTAGTTATCTGCTTACCTAGCTCATAGGCTTCCTCAAACCTGTACATCCGCTAGCTGAACGCTTTATTCAAAGAAATTTAAAATCAGTTATGTTATAGTTTCTTGTTATCATCTATCTATTTATGATCTAGCTCCGTAATATAAATTGTATGGATTTTTATTTGCTGATAACGATTTTATTCTCTAATCTATACTTTTACCGCATCAAAAAGCATCAATCACAACCAAAGTTATGGGTAGTCAATAGTCATAGCGTAAATTGTAATGTGAGCTTGTTATGACGTATCATAGAGCATGACAACGCGCGTTGCTAATCTGTTCTTGCTCGCGCACGTGCAATCTCTTGATGTTCCTAAGCAACGTCGCCGTTTATCTTTGCTATTTAATAACGCCATTATTCTAATGTTTATTTTACCTCACTTCCGACGTTGATTATAGAAAATCTAAAGCCTTAATCAAAATTCTAAGAATGCTATAGCCTATTCCTATCATTTTTTTACAACCCTGCTAAAAATGGCGAGGTTTCAACTCCATTTGCGAGCTGAAATTGGTCACGCCAGAGGGTAATTTTTAGGTCGATTTTCAGTGTTTTATATTCTATGTCAACGTTGCCGGGGGGATTTAGTCAAGTTTAAAATATAATATAGATAATTCGCAAAACCTTGGCCTTTATGAAGAAAGCCTCATCTGAGTTCTTAATATAATTTCTAAAGAAAGAAGCTTATTTATTATTATCCCGTACTATCACCAATCGACTCTTCATCAAAACAAGCGTCAAAATGCTAGTAGAATTCCGATTCGAAAACAAAATTTTATAAGGAATTGCAACGTTTCATTCCCGCTCGTTGCCACTAGTTTTTAATCCGCTGAGGAGAAGGGAGTGTTTTGGTGTTCTTAAACCATCACCAATAAATTTGTCGTAAAATATTAGGGTCAGAATGATTGTAGATAAAGTTCCCACTAATGTTGGTGCACTTAAGCACTTTTCTCAGAAAACGAAATTTTCAAATTTTTAATTCAGCGTGTCCCAATATTACAACCAGTGTTTCATCACAACAGTTTAAGGCCAATTTTTCGTCTTATTTTCGATGACCAATGGTTTGAACGGGTCATTTTCATCAGAACGTGGAGTTTTTGCCGATGTGGCTGTACTTAAGCACTTTTCTAAGAAATTCAAACTATTATTTGTGATTTTGAGCTTAGTGGGTCAATACGTCAAAAAAGCTTACTTGGGTACGCGTACCACCACAATTTCAGTCGGTACGCGCAAATACGGCAATATACGCGCACCCGTTCCCAGTGCAGATACGGGTACGCCAAAATTAAAAAGCAAACGAATTCACTTATCTCAGAGACAAAATAAAAGACAATAGTAAATATTAAAAATGGAATTCAACAATTACACATCCGCAAAGATAACACAGTTCATCAAACAGTGTCATCAAAAGTAATTATAAAGTCTGTAACAAACCACAGGTCTTCCACCCGTTTGTTACAAACTTTATAATTGCAAGCCGCAAAGTTATTAGAGGTAAAAATACCCACGAGTGGCGCGCACGCGTTTCTAAATTTCAATTTAAATTTGAAAAATTCAAATTCACTTTTGAGTTTTCGGGTGCAGGTGCGGGTATGCACGTACCGCTATCGGGGCCAGAACTCGGTACGCGCGTACCCGTACCGGGTGCGAATACGTATCGACCAACTAAGATTTTGAGGCACTTTCTGAGAAGTTAGGATGATGAAACCTTGTCATAAGTCTCAAAAGTCGACAAAGCACTTTATAAAAATAGTGGGTGCAGTTTAAATTTGACAGCAGCTAGCCCAGAGCAATTACAGAATTGAAATCTTTAAAGTCAATTTGCACAAAATGAACTTTGTGTGACACAATCTGACTTAACCAGTTTTGTCAGAAAACGGCAGATAACACCTTAAAATGCTTCCTTTTAAAGTTATGGTAAAAAAGTAATTTTTTATCTGCAAAGCCAAAAAAATCACATTTTCTCTCATAACTTTAAAAGTTTCACATAAATGCTATAGGAATAGATATAGCGCAAATTGAGCTAATACAATATAGAGTAATTTCCGCTAATTTTTTTCGTACTCTAGGTTTATGGCTACACCAATTGAGTACAACGCTGACAATGCGTCAAGCGATCTTGTAACTTTATCGATCGGGTCAAACGATATTGAACCTTCACTGACGGAGTTTAACGCTGGCAATGCGTCAAATGATCTTGAAACTTCAGCAATTGAGTACAATCCTAATAATGTGCCAGATCATCTTGGAACTGGTAGCAATGGTACATTGGTATATCGCGGCAGATTCACAAGGAAAGTGACTGGTAGAGTTGAAAACGTAGCTGTCAAGCAAATCATAATAATACCGGATAAAGGGTTACAACTATTACGGGAAATTAATGCATTACAAGACCTTTCTCATAAACATGTTATCAAATACTTTGATGTAGAGAAAAGAGGCCAGTTTGTTTTAATTGCTCTGCAGTTATGCAAAGGATCACTGGTAAATATTGTAACACCCTCCCTCAAGAAGGACATTTAATTTTTTAATTGATGGTAAACCATTTAAAAAGTATAAAACTCATTTATGGTCCACCAGAAAAAGTTTACTATTAGGTGTTGCTAATGGCTTGGAGTACATTCACGAGAAGAACATAGTTCATAGAGATCTAAAGCCTCAGAATATTCTTGTAACTGTGGATGAAAGTAATACCGGTTTGCTAAAGGCAGTGATATCAGATTTTGGTCTTTGCAAAGAATTCGACAAGTCTGAAAAATTTAAGCCTTCACGGAGTCTGATTGGAAGTAATGGATGGATGCCAAAAGAAATATTGTCGGGAAGGAAAACTCTCCTAACACCCACTGCTATGGATATCTTTGCTTTTGGATGTATTGTCCATTTTTTTATGTCTTTCAAGAGATCTCGAAGTGGTCAAATTCATCCCTTTGGAGAGGACGATGTAAGAAATCACAATATAAGGGAATCAGATAGAGTTACATATTTATATGAAAATATGGACCCACATCATACCTTTTATGGGGACACCATTTTAGCTGACATACTTATCGATGGTTGTGTTAGCTCTGATCCAAAAATCCGTCCTACGGCTGACGAGATTTTGAAGCATCCGTTCTTTTGGAGTTATGCCGAGAGAAAGAAATACGTCGGTGAGCGTTTCAACGTCTTTAAGGACTACTCCAGGTCGAAGCCACCTATCCCTATAACCATGCTTCGATCACTATGGAAAGACCTATGTTCTGGCAAGGAGTTTCATAACGATATATCAGAGGTTTGGAAGTATGTAGAGTTGTACAGCAAAAGTTTAAAGAAGCCCACACCTGATTATTGGAAGTCGAATATTTTTAATGGTGTAATGAGGACAATTCGGAACCTTTCAGAACATTGGACCAGTGCAGTTTCACTACATCCACCACTTCGCGACCTCTTTGGTGGGTGTGTTGATCTTGAAGGTAACACTGACTATGACCATGAAAAAATGGGTAGGTATTTTTTTGAAAAAATTCCTCAATCATTCCCAATCATTTATGCTAGTTTCAAAAAAGATAAATTAGCTAAGCAGACTCTAGAAAGAATTTTGAGACCAGCTTAACCAGATGACTTGAAATCAGCTGACTTGAAGCCAGGTTGCAGCTGACTTGAAGCCAGGTTGCAGCTGACTTGAAGCCAGGTTGCAGCTGACTTGAAGCCAGGTTGCAGCTGACTTGAAGCCAGGTTGCAGCAGAGTAAGTAACTGCATTCATAATAGAGAACTGACAAGTTAGAGTCATAATTTGATAACTTTTAAGTGTTTTTCTAAAGTTACACTTCAAAACATGTTTTTATCGTAATTAGTGTTGTTGTTTGTTGTACTTGTTTGATTGGAAGTTATTTTCGAGTTTTATTTGTTTGTGGAAACATTAATAGGAAATCAAATTCGTTCCATGGATGGGAATTTTAAAAATTGACAATTAATGTCTGTCGTTCTGACTAAAATTCCCAAAATTTACATTAACTGACACAAATGGTCATTGCACCCCCCTCCTTTCTAATTTATCAAATATAAATGAATGGTTCTTATGGATCTTTAAAACATTATGGAACATTAGGGAAGCTTTGCTACACCACTGATCGTTTAAACTTACGGTCCATTTCCAAGCAGCTATATTCTCCATCAGCAGCTGAGTTTCAAACTCAGGACGTTTAGATACCGTCCACTCCCAACAGTTAGCTGCGATCTGTTAATAACAATACGACATAAGCTAAGAATTAAAGTTGAATTGTAACGTTCCTCCCGGTGAATTCGGAGCAACAGAGAAACAAGACTTAGTTAGAAATATAATGGGAGCATTGAAAAGAGAAAGACGGAATATAAAGGTTACGATTACCATAAATACTGATTAACTTACCCTGACGGACTCCTTAGTGAAGCAGGTTACAGGAACCCAACAGAGCGCTCGGAGTGCCTTCCTGTTTAACTTCTCCTCACATATCAGGAATGCTGCTGTGTGGTTTACAGCCGCCTCGATAGCCTCAATAGAGCCTGTAGGTGAGTGAATCATAATCTAGACTAATATTAAAGAGATATTCTAGATGAAATCAAAGTGCAAAAAGGATTTGAAAATAAGAGTTTTTTTGATTAATAGCCGACTGTTCATGAGATCCAGACTTATGAGCATGGAAGAATTTAGAGCTGAGCTATAAGCTGAATTATAAGATAACATCAACACGCACCAGTTGGATTCTGTTTCCATTCAGTGAGAGCTTGCTCCATCTTTTTGAGAACCATGCCGACAAAATCAAAATCTGCTCCTTGAAAAGTTACCAAACTCTTCATCCCCTCAATGTGACCGTAAAACTGAAGAAAGTTATAAGTCAGAAACAGTAAGAGTATTTCTAACAACAAGAAGGAGGAGAATATCGACATTTCGAAGGGGTGGTCTCTAATCTTGACAATCGACCAGTATATAGAAAATATGAGTTATCAGATAATTTTCGGTCGGGCGAATATCATATGTTCTTCTCCACGCAGCACTCCGGGATATGGATGTATAAAATATAGTATGTGCATGGTGCTATATTGAAAATCCACACAAAGGCTTGTCGGTGGCAAAGAGACAACATTTTATATTTACCTTGCTGCGGTTTGTAGCACTGTTCAGGGAAGCGTTGTAATACAGTTTGTGTTCCATCTTCCTGTCCATCGGAATGTTCATATCCTCTAGTGAGATGTTCAGTCCTGGAATGTGTGGTCAAGTTAAATGATAGTAGCAGTCCAGGAGAATCTGGGCGATACTTATCTAGCCGTGTAATAGTACAAGTGAAAGTGAAAGTTAATAGTGAAAGTTAATAGTGAAAGTTAATAGTGAAAGTTAATAGTGAAGGAAAAGTAATACAATATATTGAGATCGGTCCCAGTAGGGGGGTTACCTTTAATAGAGCTCTTCAACTGATCTTCATAATCTTGTAGTTTCTCCAGCTTTTCAAGCGGCGCAAATTTCACTGACTCCTTCAGAATAGCAGCGAATCTGAAATTATAACTTATGTTAAGTTTTGCTTACGTACAACAAAGGAAGGGTAGGGGTTTAGACAATGAAAGAAGAAAAGTTACCGTTTAGAGAAGTCATTGAGCATGTTCTGTCTCTCTTGGTTTTCCTCCGCAATGTTCATTGTACCCGGCTCGTAAGGTACAGACACCTCCCTAATGATACCTTGCTCTGATGTGGTGTTCTTAACCGCCTTCACTAGCTCCTGTGGTGGTACATACCATGTTATCCATTATTTGACGTCTTATCTTCGTATTAAGTGTCGCCAAAACAATCAAGTTAATCGTGGTCAGAGCAGCAGAGTAAAAACTCGAACGTTAGCACAATAAAGTTTACCTTACAGTATCTAACCCCAGTATGACTACACACTGACTACACACCACGTACCTGAGCATGACTACACGCTGACTACACACCACGTACCTGAGTATTACTACACAGTACACACCACGTACCTGAGTATGACTACACGCTGACTACACACCACGTGCCTGAGCATGACTACACGCTGACTACACACCACGTACCTGAGTATGACTACACGCTGACTACACACCACGTACCTGAGTATGACTACACGCTGACTACACACCACGTACCTGAGTATTACTACACAGTACACACCACGTACCTGAGTATGAATACAATCTGACTACACACCACGTACCTGACTACACGCTGACTACACACCACGTGCCTGAGCATGACTACACGCTGACTACACACCACGTATCTGAGTATTACTACACAGTACACACCACGTACCTGAGTATGACTACACGCTGACTACACACCACGTACCTGAGCATGACTACACGCTGACTACACACCACGTACCTGAGTATTACTACACAGTACACACCACGTACCTGAGTATGACTACACACCACGTACCTGAGCATGACTACACGCTGACTACACACCACGTACCTGAGTATGACTACACACCACGTACCTGAGCATGACTACACACCACGTACCTGAGCATGACTACGCACCACCTACCTGAGCATGACTACATGCCGCGCTGACTACACACCACGTACCTGAGCATGACTACACACCACGTACCTGAGTATGACTACACGCTGACTACACACCACGTACCTGAGTATGACTACACGCTGACTACACACCACGTACCTGAGCATGACTACACACCACGTACCTGAGCATGACTACGCACCACCTACCTGAGCATGACTACATGCCGCGCTGACTACACACCACGTACCTGAGCATGACTACACACCACGTACCTGAGTATGACTACACGCTGACTACACACCACGTACCTGAGCATGACTACACGCTGACTACACACCACGTACCTGAGCATGACTACACGCTGACTACACACCACGTACCTGAGCATGACTACACGCTGACTACACACCACGTACCTGAGTATGACTACACGCTGACTACGCACCACGTACCTGAGTATTACTACACAGTACACACCACGTACCTGAGTATGACTACACGCTGACTACACACCACGTACCTGAACATGACTACACACCACGTACCTGAGCATGACTACACACCACGTACCTGAGTATTACTACACAGTACACACCACGTACCTGAGTATGTCTACACACCACGTACCTGAGCATGACTACACGCTGACTACACACCACGTACCTGAGTATGACTAGACACCACGTACCTGAGCATGACTACACACCACGCACCTGAGCATGACTACGCACCACCTACCTGAGCATGACTACACGCTGACTACACACCACGTACCTGAGCATGACTACACACCACGAACCTGAGCATGACTACACGCTGACTACACACCACGTACCTGAGCATGACTACACGCTGACTACACACCACGTACCTGAGTATGACTACACGCTGACTACACACCACGTACCTGAGCATGACTACACGCTGACTACACACCACGTACCTGAGCATGACTACACGCTGACTACACACCACGTACCTGAGTATTACTACACAGTACACACCACGTACCTGAGTATGACTACACGCTGACTACACACCACGTACCTGAGCATGACTACACGCTGACTACGCACCACGTACCTGAGTATTACTACACAGTACACACCACGTACCTGAGTATGACTACACGCTGACTACACACCACGTACCTGAGCATGACTACACGCTGACTACACACCACGTACCTGAGTATTACTACACAGTACACACCACGTACCTGAGTATGACTACACACCACGTACCTGAGCATGACTACACGCTGACTACACACCACGTACCTGAGTATGACTACACACCACGTACCTGAGTATGACTACACGCTGACTACACACCACGTACCTGAGCATGACTACACGCTGACTACACACCACGTACCTGAGCATGACTACACGCTGACTACACACCACGTACCTGAGCATGACTACACGCTGACTACACACCACGTACCTGAGTATGACTACACGCTGACTACGCACCACGTACCTGAGTATTACTACACAGTACACACCACGTACCTGAGTATGACTTCACGCTGACTACACACCACGTACTTGAGCATGACTACACACCACGTACCTGAGCATGACTACACACCACGTACCTGAGTATTACTACACAGTACACACCACATACCTGAGTATGACTACACACCACGTACCTGAGCATGACTACACGCTGACTACACACCACGTACCTGAGTATGACTACACACCACGTACCTGAACATGACTACACACCACGTACCTGAGCATGACTACGCACCACCTACCTGAGCATGACTACACGCTGACTACACACCACGTACCTGAGCATGACTACACGCTGACTACACACCACGTACCTGAGCATGACTACACGCTGACTACACACCACGTACCTGAGTATGACTACACGCTGACTACGCACCACGTACCTGAGTATTACTACACAGTACACACCACGTACCTGAGTATGACTTCACGCTGACTACACACCACGTACTTGAGCATGACTACACACCACGTACCTGAGCATGACTACACACCACGTACCTGAGTATTACTACACAGTACACACCACGTACCTGAGTATGACTACACACCACGTACCTGAGCATGACTACACGCTGACTACACACCACGTACCTGAGTATGACTACACACCACGTACCTGAGCATGACTACACACCACGTACCTGAGCATGACTACGCACCACCTACCTGAGCATGACTACACGCTGACTACACACCACGTACCTGAGCATGACTACACACCACGAACCTGAGCATGACTACACGCTGACTACACACCACGTACCTGAGCATGACTACACGCTGACTACACACCACGTACCTGAGTATGACTACACGCTGACTACACACCACGTACCTGAGCATGACTACACGCTGACTACACACCACGTACCTGAGCATGACTACACGCTGACTACACACCACGTACCTGAGTATTACTACACAGTACACACCACGTACCTGAGTATGACTACACGCTGACTACACACCACGTACCTGAGCATGACTACACGCTGACTACGCACCACGTACCTGAGTATTACTGCACAGTACACACCACGTACCTGAGTATGACTACACGCTGACTACACACCACGTACCTGAGCATGACTACACGCTGACTACACACCACGTACCTGAGTATTACTACACAGTACACACCACGTACCTGAGTATGACTACACACCACGTACCTGAGCATGACTACACGCTGACTACACACCACGTACCTAAGTATGACTACACACCACGTACCTGAGCATGACTACACGCTGACTACACACCACGTACCTGAGTATGACTACGCGCTGACTACACACCACGTACCTGAGCATGACTACACGCTGACTACACACCACGTACCTGAGCATGACTACACGCTGACTACACACCACGTACCTGAGTATGACTACACGCTGACTACGCACCACGTACCTGAGTATTACTACACAGTACACACCACGTACCTGAGTATGACTACACGCTGACTACACACCACGTACCTGAGCATGACTACACGCTGACTACACACCACCTACCTGAGTATTACTACACAGTACACACCACGTACCTGAGTATGACTACACACCACGTACCTGAGCATGACTACACGCTGACTACACACCACGTACCTGAGTATGGCTACACACCACGTACCTGAGCATGACTACGCACCACCTACCTGAGCATGACTACACGCTGACTACACACCACGTACCTGAGCATGACTACACACCACGTACCTGAGCATGACTACACGCTGACTACGCACCACGTACCTGAGTATGACTACACACCACGTACCTGAGTAAGGTGGGTAAGACACTTCAGTACTTCCTCACTCCACAGCAAATGGTTGAACTTGTCTATCAGCTTACTAAGCCACTTGTCAGCAGTGAGTCTTATTCTCTTAACACAGTGGTTAAACTTTACCAGTAGGAACTGGACCAGGTTCTCAAGGTGGGCTTGTCTTCCCTCGTCACGTGACTGAGAAAGAAACAAGTTAAAGTTCTGGTTCAGAACAATATTTATAAAGCAGTCCAAAAAACTAACGATCCTTAGTTATTACTAATTTACTGATTATTACTACAAAATCACGAGTGTTATAATAATTTTAATAAACGATATTGAACAATTAAATTAATTACTTAAATGTACACTGTGAATAAATCAGAGCTCTTAAACCTAATTCTACACTGGAATAACACTGCTTAAACCTAATTCTACACTGGAATAACACTGCTTAAACCTAATTCTACACTCACTACACTGGAATAACACTGGAAGAATGTACTATAACATTGGAAGAAGGTACCTGTTGTGTGACGTGATCAATATGTAGCTGGAACATGTGTGTGCACATGTGCTCAAAGCAGGAGTATATACCCGACTTATCCTTCTGGATTCCCTTGTCCTGTAGCGCAGATATTATTAGTTTAAGGGAGGAAGGGGCTCAAATACATTATTCCACCCGAGCAGTTCTCCTGAATAGTCACTGTCTAAATTCACACATTCTAAACTGTATGCCCACCTGTAAATAGTGAAAGAGGTGGTAGCAAGTGTAGTTAGGCTGGGAGACTCTCATCAGCTCGATATGGTAGGCTGATAGGAAGAATGTGCACTGCCCATAGTTCATCCTGAAACATTATATCAAACTCAAGCATGGCTTATAATAGTGGGAACACTGAAAAATAGTTAAGAGCCTATTTAAAAATCGTTATTGCGCAATACTGGAACCGGCAAAAAGGTGGTTTTTCAACCGCATTATGTACGAAATCAATTTCGGTCCTTAATATTAATAAATGTTGAAAGTCTGATTAAGAGTTTCGAGATACGTCCTCTTCGTGTAAGCTAATAGAAGATAATATAGCACACTAGCGGTAGTCCAACACCACCTCACCTGTAGATGATAGCATTTAGTTCCGGAGCGTGTAGATGCTCACTGATAGCCACCCTGAACTCGCCCTCCTGCGCTATACCCTCCAGCTTCAGAGCAGAGTTGTACTGGAGATCGTGCTGGAGGAATGTGTCAGCTCCCATTGAGGACATGAGGGGTGTCTTGCAGGCTACTGCTTCTACTCCTGCATACCACTCCTCCGTGTACTGACCCAGTCCTGGGGGTCACGTGTTACTGTCACGTGTTTATACACGTGATACTATCATGTGTTTATACACGTGTTACTATCACGTGTTTATACACGTGATACTGTCACGTGTTTACACGTGTTACTATCACTTGTTACTATCACTTGTTACTATCACTTGTTACTATCACGTGTTACTATCACGTGTTTAGATAGCTGTTTCGGAATGTCAAAATTGGTTCGTATCTTTACTTCTTTAACCACTAACTAATCTCAAATGCAACAGAATTAATAAAACTATCACAGTCAACCGATCTCATGATTGACGAGTATTACCTCTAGTATTTGTATTGTATTGATGAGTATTACCTCTAGTAACGAAGTTCATGACCACACAGATCTGCCAGAAGTCCCTGAAGAGTCTCTGTACCCTGGTGTTGACTGTCTCCACTCTCTTTATACGTCCCATTAGTATCGCAAACACTGGTAATAGTACACCTGAAGAGAGGGCTGGTTACTATGGTTACTATGGTTACTATGGTTACTATGGTTACTATGGTTACTATGGTTACTATGGTTACTATGGTTACTATGGTTACTATGGTTACTATGGTTACTATGGTTACTATGGTTACTATGGTAAGGGAACTAGAAGGTGAAAATTTAGTTCGGTGTTATTTTGGGTCCTTTAATCAAAAACATAAGTTTTAGCGGGGTCTCTAATTACGCTTCAGCGAATATTTTAAGATACCCTCCATATTTCCAGGCCCTTTGTGATTATTCCCGATCAAACGTTTAAGTTCGATGTTCATTTTAGACCATCCTTTATATTGTGACTTCAATTGGTAACCTCCATTATACGTTATGTTACTACTCGTGTTACTATGGTAGTATGGTTACTATGGTTACTATGGTTACTATGGTTACTGCATACGTTATGTACGCAGTTTAACCAGACTTGTTAGAAACGCATTCTTTCTATTGTTCTATATATTGTTATATTCTATATTGTTCTAGAGTTCACTGTGTGATAAGATGTAGCAATATTACTATGGTTACTAGCCCATGTTACTATGGTTACTAGTCCATGTTACTATGGTTACTAGCCCATGTTACTGTGGTAACTAGCCCATGTTACTATGGTTACTAGCCCATGTTACTATGGTTAATAGCCCATATTACTATGGTTACTAGCCCATGTTACTATGGTTACTAGTCCATGTTACTATGGTTACTAGCCCATGTTACTGTGGTAACTAGCCCATGTTACTATGGTTACTAGCCCATGTTACCATGGTTAATAGCCCATATTACTATGGTTACTAGCCCATGTTACTATGGTTACTAGCCCATGTTACTATGGTCACTAGCCCATATTACTATGGTTACTAGTCCATGTTACTATGGTTACTAGCCCATGTTACTATGGTTAATAGCCCATGTTACTATGGTTACTAGCCCATGTTACTATGGTCACTAGCCCATATTACTATGGTTACTAGTCCATGTTACTATGGTTACTAGCCCATGTTACTATGGTTAATAGCCCATGTTACTATGGTTACTAGCCCATGTTACTGTGGTAACTAGCCCATATTACTATGGTTAGTAGCCCATGTTACTATGGTTAATAGCCCATATTACTATGGTTACTAGTCCATGTTACTATGGTTACTAGCCCATGTTACTATGGTTACTAGCCAAATTACTATGGTTACTAGCCCATATTACTATGGTTACTAGCCCATGTTACTATGGTTACTAGCCCATATTACTATGGTCACTAGCCCATATTACTATGGTTACTAGTCCATGTTACTATGGTTACTAGCCCATGTTACTATGGTTAATAGCCCATGTTACTATGGTTACTAGCCCATGTTACTATGGTTACTAGCCCATGTTACTATGGTTACTAGCCCATGTTACTATGGTTACTAGCCCATGTTACTATGGTTGGTAGCCCATGTTACTATGGTTACTAGCCCATGCTAAGATATCATGCCTTTCCCAACAACTTGTGCAAGGCATCTTGAATGAAGCCTGATGTTCTCTACTTCAAATACACGCTCAAACTATGCATGGACCCAGTAACTAACATTATAATAAAACTAAATAATTCATGTGCATTATCAGCAATGGTGGAGCCTCAAAACTAAATAATTCATGTGCATTATCAGCAATGGTCCATGTGACACTGATTTGCTGCTAAAGGGCGCTCCGTATTTGGTGTGCATTATTCTTATGTTCAGTAGGAAGATAGAAAATTTCTTTAATTCATAAGAGTCTAGAACCGGGGCGAGAATGTTTAGTAGACAAATAAATAATTCAACAGTATAGAATGAGTAATGGTCTATGTGACTCGGGTTTGGTCCCCTAAATATAATGTGATAGGTTAAGGTTTAGGACGATTTGAATAATTATGCGGATTGTCTAGAGAGCAACTTGGTATGGCTGCCCCTCAATCCTTAGTATTAAAGCTGGCTTTGCTTTTCAAACCTCGTCTTAATAGTGCCTGTGGAGCTGTGGCATGTGGGCAACCCTCTTATATAGTCAAACCTATGAAGCCTGACTTATGTTTTGTGGCATGTGGGCAACCCTCTTATATAGTCAAACCTATGGAGCCTGACTTATGTTTTGTGGCATGTGGGTTACCCTCTTATATAGTCAAACCTATGTTACTATGGTTACTCGCCCATGTTACTACCCTCTCATATAGTCATGTTACTATGGTTACTAGCCCATGTTACTGTGGTAACTAGCCCATATTACTATGGTTAGTAGCCCATGTTACTATGGTTAATAGCCCATATTACTATGGTTACTAGCCCATGTTACTATGGTTACTAGTCCATGTTACTATGGTTACTAGCCCATGTTACTATGGTTACTAGCCAAATTACTATGGTTACTAGCCCATATTACTATGGTTACTAGCCCATGTTACTATGGTTACTAGCCCATATTACTATGGTCACTAGGGCAATTCCACGGTAAGGTTCCACTTGGTGAAAATGAAAAATGTTAAGATAGGCACCTAATTTTGGTTAAAATATGTTCATTAGACTCTTAACCTTACAGGTCAACAAAAGTTTTTTGTTTCATATTGCATTAACTTTTGATTTTTCTCATTCAAAGGAACACTACTCGGAAATGGAAAAAATCATTCAAATTTTCAAAGGGCCATAGTTTGGGTATGCAGCAATATTTCTCTATGAAATTCCATACACTTAAGCATAGGCATAAGAATGAGAGCCATGCAAAGTTTCAAAACCGTTACTCAAATACTTTTTCTAAAAAATTTCCACAAAGATGGTGTCGCGTCTGTCACAAAATTAAGCAAAAAAGTTTTTTCAGAGCCACATAGTGCTATTTATATTCAAAAAACCACTGTAACCTATCTCTTCTGAAGGTAAGGGAGTACCGTAGAAATTATCAGGCTTGTATCTTTTAAGAAAAAATTTTTGGGAGGGGGGTCCCAACTTGTCGCGTCCGTCAAATTTTTTTGAAAATGCTCCAAAAAATCTTTTAACAGACTTTAAATGCATTTTTGTTAAAGCTGAGACCGTTCTTAACAAAACGATGTTGTCAAATCGAAAATTGGACAGAAAATGACTGAGTTATGTATAATTTTGTATATGCCCATATATGGGCGTACGACTCACTTTAAGCCATTTTTATCCATATTTCCATTATTTTGACTAAAACCAAGACAAATTGAAGTCAAATAAGGTTTGACTATGTTGACTAGACTATCAAATAACATCATATACAATTCAATAATTAAATTTACTGAGTTTTGCCATTTTATTTGCCTTAACCTTTTTCAGGGGTAAAAGGCACAAAAAATGGACTTAACCCTATTTTCGCATATTTTTGAAGTAAAAATTCAATATCTTCCACATTTTAAACACTAAAGTAATGAAACTTTTGGGAGATGGTCTCAACAGTGTGATGTGTTGAACAGAGATGAAGGTTTTACCAGAGTTATAAATTTGTTCAAGTAGAGAAATAATTGCTGCCCCTAGATTGATACCCTCGCGTATGCCCAAAATGGACGATTTTGGCTATTGCAGACCTCGTGGAAGTACTAGCGGCCTAAAAATTGGCATAAATATAGAATGAAGGTCACTGAACAAGATAAAAGTGTCAAATAGAAGATTTGGAGAAATTGAAAAAAAAACGTGTGTCCGTCACAGTCACGTCTGTCACAATTTGAAAATAGCGCCACGCAAACAAAAACTGAGCATTCTCCAAAAAAATGGTATCTCAGAAATCCCTAAACCTTTTTCTATCACTGCATGTCCAAATTAGAGATAATAGATAACGTTTTGAGATAGATTTGGGTACCTTCTGAGTAGACACCCAAAAAAAGTGTCATATTTAAGTCGCGTCCGTCACAGGGGTGCTATCTCAGAAAGTAATAATGGTAGGGGTCTGAAATTTTCACACAACCTATAGAAAGGTTAAATGTGGACTAATAAATAGTTTAAGCTGATATAGAAGCAACATCCTGAGCACAACATTCGTTTGAACTTTAAAAAATGGCATAATCGTGGTGTCCGTCACGGTGGAATTGCCCACTAGCCCATATTACTATGGTTACTAGTCCATGTTACTATGGTTACTAGCCCATGTTACTATGGTTAATAGCCTATGTTACTATGGTTACTAGCCCATGTTACTATGGTTACTAGCCCATGTTACTATGGTTAATAGCCCATGTTACTATGGTTACTAGCCCATGTTACTATGGTTACTAGCCCATGTTACTATGGTTACTAGCCCATGTTACTATGGTTACTAGCCCATGTTACTATGGTTTTTTTTTTTTTATCTAGACACTTATTTTACTTCGGTGTATTCCAACAGCCACAATGTTACACAAGTGCAACCAGCCAATTACAGGAAGCCGAAGGATCTTTTTGGCCAGTGACGGTTAAGGTAGTGTGTACCATACTTTCTTCGTCCGAGACTTTGCTGCAATGTGCAGCTCCTCATTTAACCCTCACACCCGATTTCTCGAGTATTCGGCTGAGTAGACCGGGGGGCTGCATAGACCACTCATGATTCTTAGCTGAACGTCGACGACGCTCACCCCACGACCAGGCAGTCAGTGGGTTTCGAACTCGCAACCTAACGATTGTAAGACAGGCGTTCTAACCAACTGCGCTACCTGGCCGTTAAAAGCCGTTACTAGCCCATGTTAATATGGTTGGTAGCCCATGTTACTATGGTTACTAGCCCATGTTACTATGGTTGGTAGCCCATATTACTATGGTTACTAGCCCATATTACTATGGTTACTAGCCCATGTTACTATGGTTGGTAGCCCATGTTACTATGGTTACTAGCCCATGCTAAGATATCATGCCTTTCCCAACAACTTGTGCAAGGCATCTTAAATGAAGCCTGATGTTCTCTACTTCAAATACACGCTCAAACTATGCATGGTCCCAGTAACTAACATTATAACAAAACTAAATAATTCATGTGCATTATCAGCAATGGTGGAGCCTCAAAACTAAATAATTCATGTGCATTATCAGCAATGGTCCATGTGACACTGATTTGCTGCTAAAGGGCGCTCCGTATTTGGTGTGCATTATTCTTATGTTCAGTAGGAAGATAGAAAATTTCTTTAATTCATAAGAGTCTAGAACCGGGGCGAGAATGTTTAGTAGACAAATAAATAATTCAACAGTATAGAATGAGTAATGGTCTATGTGACTCGGGTTTGGTCCCCTAAATCTAATGTGATAGGTTAAGGTTTAGGACGATTTGAATAATTATACGGATTGTCTAGAGAGCAACTTGGTATGGCTGCCCCTCAATCCTTAGTATTAAAGCTGGCTTTGCTTTTCAAACCTCGTCTTAATAGTGCCTGTGGAGCTGTGGCATGTGGGCAACCCTCTTATATAATCAAACCTATGAAGCCTGACTTATGTTTTGTGGCATGTGGGCAACCCTCTTATATAGTCAAACCTATGGAGCCTGACTTATGTTTTGTGGCATGTGGGTAACCCTCTTATATAGTCAAACCTATGTTACTATGGTTACTCGCCCATGTTACTACCCTCTCATATAGTCATGTTACTATGGTTACTAGCCCATGTTACTGTGGTAACTAGCCCATATTATTATGGTTAGTAGCCCATGTTACTATGGTTAATAGCCCATATTACTATGGTTACTAGCCCATGTTACTATGGTTACTAGTCCATGTTACTATGGTTGGTAGCCCATGTTACTATGGTTACTAGCCCATGCTAAGATATCATGCCTTTCCCAACAACTTGTGCAAGGCATCTTGAATAAAGCCTGGTGTTCTCTACTTCAAATACACGGACCCAGTAACTAACATTTTAATAAAACTAAATAATTCATGTGCATTATCAGCAATGGTCCATGTGACACTGATTTGCTGCTAAAGGGCGCTCCGTATTTGGTGTGCATTATTCTTATGTTCAGTAGGAAGATAGAAAATTTCTTTAATTCATAAGAGTCTAGAACCGGGGCGAGAATGTTTAGTAGACAAATAAATAATTCAACAGTATAGAATGAGTAATGGTCTATGTGACTCGGGTTTGGTCCCCTAAATCTAATGTGATAGGTTAAGGTTTAGGACGATTTGAATAATTATACGGATTGTCTAGAGAGCAACTTGGTATGGCTGCCCCTCAATCCTTAGTATTAAAGCTGGCTTTGCTTTTCAAACCTCGTCTTAATAGTGCCTGTGGACCTGTGGCATGTGGGCAACCCTCTTATATAGTCAAACCTATGAAGCCTGACTTATGTTTTGTGGCATGTGGGCAACCCTCTTATATAGTCAAACCTATGGAGCCTGACTTATGTTTTGTGGCATGTGGGTAACCCTCTTATATAGTCAAACCTATGTTACTATGGTTACTCGCCCATGTTACTACCCTCTCATATAGTCAAACCTATGGAGCCTGACTTATGTTTTGTGGCATGTGGGCAACCCTCTTATATAGTCAAACCTATGTTACTATGGTTACTAGCCCATGTTACTACCCTCTTATATAGTCAAACCTATGGAGCCTGACTTATGTTTTGTGGCATGTGGGCAACCCTCTTATATAGTCAAACCTATGGAGCCTGACTTATGTTTTGTGGCATGTGGGCAACCCTCTTATATAGTCAAACCTATGGAACCTGACTTATGTTTTGTGGCATGTGGGCAACCCTCTTATATATACTTTTTCATCGCAGTTATTTTATATTTCTCCGATTCCTGTTAAAAAAATCTACCTTGAAGTTGACGATTTTTGCCAAAATAAGATTAAAATTTCACATCTAGAGGTAATGGCGGAGTATTACAAAATTTTCCAATCGTTGGTTCTAGTTCTTCTTTTAGTTTCGGCGTCTGGTGGTAAGTTTCCATGATAATTGGGATATTCAGTATTTAACAAATCATAACAGTATCCCGGATTCTGTTATGATTTGTTAAAATGTTATGATTTGTTAACATGTTATGATTTGTTAAATGTTATAATTTATTAAATTGAGAATGATAATGATACGTTGGAACCTCTATATACCGGGCCTCTCGAGGAAACTTAAAGTGACCGGTATATAGGTTCGCATGAACCTAATCCCCAGTATCTGTAGCCTCTCGACTGACCTGTCAAGTGTCTCATATGCCCCATTAGGGCCCGGTGTAAGAGGTTCTACTTTAGTACCGACAAAAACATTTGGTTAACGTTGTTTAAACATTAAAATAGTTAATTTCCAAATATAAACTCTCTGAATGTTTCAGCGACAAGACAAAGACTAGCTGATGAGATAATACCGGTTAATGCTGAACTATCCGGCACTTTGGATAATAACGAGGAGTTGAATGGTGCTAAAAACGCGATAGACCTGGACCTGACGACTTATTCTCTACCTGATCCTGACGGTGTCGTCTGGCTTAAGTTAATCCTGGACAAAGGCCACTGTGTTGAAAAAGTGATCCGTTACAGCAGTAACGGAGTAGCTAAACAGACGTGGACATGCTCTGAGACTGACTGTAGCACCTGTGAGGGGAATTGTGACGTGTATAATCTCACAGTGTACAACCTATCACATGTATCATGTAAATGTAAATATGAACCTGCACATGCAACAATGGGCCAAATTGGCTCATTTTTTCATTCTGTGGCTAGAAGTCATTAGGATCCATATTACAACAACTTACTTGGCTCAACTTATTTCCGATAAAATGATTTGGTCTACGTAACTTGGCCCACCCATTTATAGAACATTCTGTGGGATAGGTAACGTAGACCAAAAACATTCCTGAAGAAATGGGATAGCTTTTTCTGTTTATCTATAAACTACCAAAAACTACTAACCAAAAACTACTTCTTGCATGTGCAGGTTCATATGGGAAACGTGGAGATAGGGTGAAACTAGAGCAGACTGACGGTGTTAAGTTTAAAACGAATGAGATAGCGGTAACCAGCAGACCAGGTTAGGGAACATGGGGGATTTGGGGGAGGGGGGGGGGCAACAGCAGACCAGGTTAGGGAACATGGGGGATTTGGGGGAGGGGGGGGGGGGCAACAGCAGACCAGGTTAGGGAACATGGGGGATTTGGGGGAGGGGGCAACAGCAGACCAGATTAGGGAACATGGGGTATTTGGGGGAGGGGGGCAACAGCAGACCAGGTTAGGGAACATGTGGGATTTGGGGAGGGGGGGGGGGGCAACAGCAGACCAGGTTAGGGAATATTGGGGGATTTGGGGGAGGGGGGGCAACTGCAGACCAGGTTGGGGAACATGAGGGGATTTGGGGGAGGGGGGCAACATGATAATAACCACAAATTTCTATGGAATACTAAATAAGCGAAATAGAAAGGAGTAATTGAAGAGAAATTGCTTACAGTTTTTATCTATATTTCCTAAATTTCGCACTATTACTTAATTACGTTTCAGATGAAGAATGCAAAGCTCTAAACTCAGCATGGAAAGGCGTCAAAACAGATCCGATGTTGCCAGTCAAGGATGGCACTGAGATGACACTCTTTTGTTCAGCTGATACCCTCAACAAGGGAGGCAACAAGGCAACTTGTCAGAACGGTCTAGTTGTCCCAACCAAGAAACCTCCGAGTTGCATCCCTATCGGTAAGTACCTAAAGTTAAACTCTGGACGGCTTTAACCCCTAACTGGGCTGATTCCACTGGGCGAGGACTGTTGTGAGAGAGATTTACAACACTACAGTCCCACAATTTTACCCCACAAATGCCCCATTCCCACGTGCCCCACTTTCCCTACGGTCCCTTATCCCCCTCCCCACCAGAAATTCTTGTCATTCCTCAACTCAGATATCTTCATTCCCTTTATGCAGGAAAAATATAAAGTCATAAAATAAAAATATCTTTCATGAGTGGCAATTGATATGTTGCGATATGCGTTCGGTGTTTCACTTAAGCATATCTTCGGATAAGATGAGCCTGAAATCTAATCAATCCTTCGAGTTTCGATTTTCATTTCGATTAGTTCGATTCCTAACAGTCGTTTCATTTGTCTAAATCAAAGTAATAAAATATGAAGTTGAAGCTAAATTGGATTAAAAAGATCGAAATTCTGTTTTAAAAATCCCGGCTAATATTCCGGGCAAAACGCCAAATCCCGACCGGGATCCCGATCATGTTCAGCACTTAAGGGGGCCGGGGTCTTAGTACATACCCAGATTTCCAGCCTGATCTTTGAGCGTAGACTTCTCCCTCTCACACACTTTCTGCATCTCGAGACTCCGCTGCACGAACACCTCCAGCAGCCAGGGTATCAGGTCCTGTAGTCTCTGGGGGTTGTCTAACTTGGAGCACACTTTCTCCAGAGTGCGGATCACCGTGAAGGAGCAGTGTCTGAATCCGTGGTGTTCTGATGTGTCCTGTGGGTGTTAGAAGGGTGTTAGGAGACTGTTGAGGGTGTTAGGAGAGTGTTGGGGTGTTAGGAGTGTGTTGGGGATGTTAGGAGAGTGTTAGAAGGGTGTTATGCGAGTGTTAGGAGGGTGTTAGAAAGGTGTTAGGAGAGTTTTGAGGTTTTAGGAGCGTTGGGGTTTAGGAGAGTGTTGGGTGTTAGAAGAGTGTTAGGGGGGTGTTAGGAGAGTGTTGAGGTGTTAGGAGTGTTAAGAGAGTGTTGAGGGTGTTAGAAGAGTGTTAGGGGGGGGGGGGGGGGTGTTAGGAGAGTGTTGAGGGTGTTAGGAGACTGTTGAGGGTGTTAGGAGTGTTGAATGTTAGGAGGGGGGGGTTGCAACGACCATTAATGACCATTAATGACCATTAATGACCATTAATGACCATTAATGACAATGTCAGTTTTGTCAAAATTTCATCTACTGACATTAATGGTCATGTTTTTTCCGGCACTTCTTAGAGCGAAAAGGACGGACGCCTGCATCACTTAGACCCTACCTTAAGTTAACTAACTACAAGTATATGTTATTATTTTACATTTACAATTAGAGATTCGAAAGAGAAAACTTAGAATAGAATCTTCCGTGGTTAGGCAGACCTTCCAGAATATCACTTGAGTGGATTCCAGAGTGAGTTAGGGATTACATTTATTAAGTTCGAATGTAATGAAGAACAAATTTTGCGGCCACGGGATTTAAACCAGATAACAGTTGGTGACTTATAGTTATCAATAATAATAATTCAAAGGGTAATTTAGGAGTATCAGATCGTATCAATAGTAAAATAACAATCAATAATAAAATAATAATAACACGGGTATTAAAATTAAATACTTCGTTCCCGTTCTTATATCATATCAAGATTTATATTTTAGCCAAATCATTATGCTAGTCGATTATATATAGTAATTACACAGTAGATGAACTTATTCAACTTTAGCACTTCATGAAATACATCGTCATCAGTCTGAATCGGACAACAAAAAAGCTGATCTTTTTCTAGGATTAGATAGAACAATTCGTTTACAGTTCAATACTCTGCCTTCGGCAGTTTTGACCCAAAATCGAGCACTGTCATCATGATAGGGACAAATTGATGCGGCAGGAATTCGTCTAGATCTGCAGTTGCCCTTTTTTGAAGCAGAGACACTCATTGATAAGATGGTACCGAGGCAACGAAGGGGACGTTTAGCCTTTTTTGGAACAAAGGTAGCACTTAATGAGTCGCCCTTTCGAATTGTTCGACGTTGACAGGGCTTAGAAGAATTTTTGCAGCCCGGTTGGTATGGCACAGAACCCTCGAAACAGCCGGTACCAAAAAATTTCGATCTCCGACTTTTATTTCCAAATATCGTCTTACCAAAATTACAGAACTTCGTAATAGCGGTGTTTGTGTTCATTTTCTTGTTTTTTATAGTAACTAAGTCATGAAGATCCTTGTCTTCACTTTCACTATCTGGTGCGACGAAATCTGACTCATTATCTGATTCCTCAAGTCTCTTTCATCATCACCAGGGTACAGTTCGGAAAACTGCAATGCAACACGGTTGGCCTTCGCACGAATTAAATCACTGTCACTATTCAAGTAGGACTTTTCATACAAATAAGTAAAAGAAACTGATTCAGCATTCGCTTAAAATATTCTAATTACTATTTAATTAAAGTAAATCGTAACATCAAACCATTAGATTAAAAGCAGCCCTATACCAGAGTTGAGAAATACTTGCCATGGCAATGTTCGACGATGGCATAGAAGGTACTGTGAGGAGGTATTGAAAATCCAAATTATCAAAAGCAATCAACACAAATAAAGGAAATCAATACAATTCAAATCCACGCAAACTGCAAACAAGCATGTATACTAAGTCAACTGCAAACAAGCATTTATACTAAGTCAACTGTAAACAAGCATTTATACTAAGTCAACTGCAAACAAGCATTTATACTAAGTCAAATGCAAACAAGCAAACAGGCAAGACAAGTTACCAACGTATAACAGAATGGTGCTTGGCACTCATTCCGAAACCGAGGTCCGAGCCTCTATTAGGCGAATATTAATTCGTTTTCTCAAACGAGACTCTGGCAATCTATGTAGGGGGCTGTGAGAAACTTTATCTAGAAGTGATACTGTAGAAGTGATACTGTACAAAGTGATCATAATTGTAAATTTCTTGGACATGTTGCTTCCAAGATAGTTCAGAATTTCAATTATTTAATGACCATTAATGACCATTATTGACCATTAATGACCATTAATGACCATTAATGACAATGTCAGTTTTGACAAAATTCCATCTACTGACATTAATGGTCGTTGCAACCCCCCCGTTAGGAGTGTTGGGTGTTAGGAGTGTTATGTGTGAGGAGTGTTGGCCGTTCGCGTTAGGAGTGTTGGGTGTTAGGAGTGTGGTGGGTGTTAGGATAGTGTGAAGAGAGTGTTAGGAGGGTGTTATGCGAGTATTAGAAAGGTGTTAGGGGTGTTAGGAGAGTTTTGAGGTGTTAGGAGTGTTGGGGTTAGGAGAATGTTGGGTGTTATAAGAGTGTTAGGAGGGTGTTAGAACAGTGTTAGGAGAGTTTTGAGGGTGTTAGGAGTGTTGAGGTGTTAGGAGAGTTTTGAGGGTGTTAGGAGTGTTGAGGTGTTAGGAGAGTGTTGGGGTGTTAGGAGTGTGTTGGGGTGTTAGGAGAGTGTTAGGAGTGTTGGGGTGTTAGGAGGGTGTTGGGGTGTTAGGAGAGTGTTGGGGTGTAAGGATAGTGTTAGGAGTGTTCACCTCAGGGTGTTAGAAGGGTGTTGTGTGTGTTAGAAGGGTGTTAGGAGAGTGTTGAGAGTATTAGGAGTGTTGGGGTGTTAGGAGAGTGTTGTGTGTGTTAGAAGGGTGTTAGGAGAGTGTTGTGTGTGTTAGAAGGGTGTTAGGAGAGTGTTGTGTGTGTAAGGAGAGTGTTAGGAGTGTTCACCTCAGGGTGTTAGAAGGATGTTGAGGGTGTTAGGAGAGTGTTGGGAAAGTGCTAGGAGAGTGTTGAGGGTGTTATGAAAGTGTTATGATAGTGTTGGGGTGTTAGGAGTGTTAGGAGTGTTAGGAGTGTTGGGGTTAAGAGAATGTTGGGTGTTATAAGAGTGTTAGGAGGGTGTTAGAACAGTGTTAGGAGAGTTTTGAGGGTGTTAGGAGTGTTGAGGTGTTAGGAGAGTGTTGAGGATGTAAGGAGAGTGTTAAGAGTGTTGAGGTGTTAGGAGTGTTGGGGTGTTAGGAGAGTGTTAGGAGAGTGTTGGGGTGTTAGGAGAGTGTTGGGGTGTAAGGATAGTGTTAGGAGTGTTCACCACAGGGTGTTAGGAGAGTGTTGTGTGTGTTAGAAGGGTGTTAGGAGAGTGTTGTGTGTGTTAGAAGGGTGTTAGGAGAGTGTTGTGTGTGTTAGAAGGGTGTTAGGAGAGTGTTGTGTGTGTTAGAAGGGTGTAAGGAGAGTGTTAGGAGTGTTCACCTCAGGGTGTTAGGAGAGTGTTGGGAAGGTGCTAGGAGAGTGTTGAGGGTGTTATGAAAGTGTTATGATAGTGTTGGGGTGTTAGGAGTGTTAGGAGTGTTGGGGTTAAGAGAATGTTGGGTGTTATAAGAGTGTTAGGAGGGTGTTAGAACAGTGTTAGGAGAGTTTTGAGGGTGTTAGGAGTGTTGAGGTGTTAGGAGAGTGTTGGGGATGTAAGGAGAGTGTTAAGAGTGTTGAGGTGTTAGGAGTGTTGGGGTGTTAGGAGAGTGTTAGGAGAGTGTTGGGGTGTAAGGAGAGTGTTGGGGATGTTAGGAGAGCGTTAGGAGAGTGTTGGGGTGTTAGAAGGGTGTTAGGAGAGTGTTGTGTGTGTTAGAAGGGTGTTAGGAGAGTGTTAGGAGAGTGTTGGGGTGTTAGGAGAGTGTTGGTGGTGTTAGGAGTGTGTTGGGGTGTTAGGAGAGTGTTAGGAGAGTTGGGGTGTTATGAGTGTTGAGGTGTTAGGAGGGTGTTAGGAGAGTGTTGTGAGTGTTAGAAGGGTGTTAGGAGAGTGTTGTGTGTGTTAGAAGGGTGTTAGGAGAGTGTTGTGTGTGTTAGAAGGGTGTTAGGAGAGTGTTAGGAGAGTGTTGGGGTGTTAGGAGAGTTTTGAGGGTGTTAGGAGAGTGTTAGGAGAGTGTTGGGGTGTAAGGAGAGTGTTGGGGATGTTAGGAGAGCGTTAGGAGTGTTGAGGTGTTAGGAGAGTGTTGGTGGTGTTAGGAGAGTGTTAGGAGTGTTGGGGTGTTAGGAGGGTGTTAGGAGAGTGTTGTGTGTGTTAGAAGGGTGTTAGGAGAGTGTTGTGTGTGTTAGAAGGGTGTTAGGAGAGTGTTGTGTGTGTTAGAAGGGTGTAAGGAGAGTGTTAGGAGTGTTCACCTCAGGGTGTTAGAAGGATGTTGAGGGTGTTATGAAAGTGTTATGATAGTGTTGGGGTGTTAGGAGTGTTAGGAGTGTTCAGGGTGTTAGGAGTGTTGGGGTATTATAGGGAGAGTGTTGGTGGTGTTAGGAAGGTGTTAGGAGTGTTGGGGGTGTTAGGAGAATGGGGATTGCATTATATGAGGGAGTAAGAAAAAACAAAAGTCCGAATTGATTTGTTGATTTCACAAGTCGCTTTGAAACCACCAGACACCTCTAGGGTTTCTAAACTGTACAATATTTTTACTGACACAATGAACATTTATAAAGACAGCAGTTCACGACTACAAATGTTATTCTGCACGTCCAATACATTTTACATAGTACAGCAAACTAATGTCATGTAGTACGGTGAAGGAAGCACACTCAACAATAATATACAAATCTACTTCTACATAATAACAACCCGAACACTAAACTATGCATATTTGATGGAGGGAATACAAAAACGATGGGCAATTCTTTTCCAACAAATTTCAGCGTTTACTAACTCACAACTTCACTTTCTATTTCTGTTAATGGACTGTATTGGGAATCGTTGCTTTTGCTGCTCAGAGAATTAAATAGTCTCGGGCGAGAAAAATCCTGAATAAAATTTTGATTCGTATCTTAACCTTTTTAGGCAAGTTCTCGGCTGAAAATCTGTGCTGTAAGTCATTACATCGAGCGAAACGTTCAGTAAAATATACCGAACTGAATTTTAGACAGATATTAAAAGTTTGTCAGTAAACATTAAAACTGTCACAGTGTCACAGTATGTAACCTGTAAAGATAAAGAGCGATGGAATTGTTTGATGGTCTTGTATCTAACTGTCGCAGTCTTGTAACGATGTGTCGTTGTCTGTAGAGTTACGTTGGTCGGGTGAAAATGTTACATGAATCATCTTCAGATCAACCATAGCATGATGGTCCGGTCTACCCAGGGACACAGCAGATATCGGATCTACATACTGTTTACGTACGTAAACGCGCGTGCGCGCGAAAATAAGTGTACTTTGATCATATAAAAAGACAATGTCGGCTAGTAAATAGTTAAGATTTCACACCCAGTCTTCAGGGAATCACACAGAATGTGTGATATCTGGCCGACGTGACAGTGTCTGTCATATACAATGAATTACCTGGTTCCTGCTGCTGCTAGTTATTGAGGGCAAAGAAATGTAAGATATAGTGCTGGTCGGTTCCTTGTCGGTCAGTGAGGTTTTAGTCTTGTAGGTGTTGCTGAGTGTTCTGACACGCTAGGTTGGCGGAGGTGAGTCACAGGATTGTTTATTTTAATATCATATTATTATAAGTCACGGGATTGTTTATTATATCATGTTATAAAGCATTATAACCTCACCAGATTGTTATAAACACTTTAAATACAGATGAAAAGAAACAACTGATACGCGAAATATCGAACAGAAACAACTAACACTTATCATGATATATTTCAAAACCTGAATGTTTTACCTTGTTGGATTTAGACTCAGGGAAGGCCTTGCTAGAGATGTGCATGAAAAGAGACAGCACCTCAGAATAGCTCTTATCATTACCGTACAGCAGTATGTCACCTAGTTGCTTTATCATTTGGGTGTCCAGATGGGAGGGTGGGTTACAAATCTTGTGTCGGAATATTTGTATCACCATCTTCACCGTCTGAGAGGATTTGAAGTAATAAATTTGGAGACGCTTGAATTGAGGACAGTTATATTGTCATCCAAATTTATATATATGATAGGTGATATGAGAAAAATGATCATAAACTGATTTAGTTAAATGCGAACCTCAAAATCAGAGAGATTAGTAGCGATAGCACCAAGTACTCTGACAGCATTATTGGAGATAACAAGCTGATTGTCTTGGTCTCCAATTATCAGCAACTGGTTGCTGGCACTCGACAGAAAACCTGTAAATATTTCATTAGATGCTTATCACAACTTCACAAAGTTTAAACTTGGCTTTACAACAACATAAGAAAAACCGCCCTATTAACCGCCCAATATATTATAAAGTGAACACGCTTTTCACAGATTAGTGGTAATCAATCCATCCACAAATCACAGTTTATAATTCACCTGATAAAATACTTTAAATTGGATGGAGATAAGTTACCTTGACATAAATAGTTACTATAGTTACTATGGTTACTATAGTTACTATATAGTATTTATAGTTACCTTGACATAGCTGATGATTTGTCTCATGAACAGCTGATATGACCGATATTAAACTAGATATTATCGCTTTACGAAGGGTATCTAGACTCGTCGTGTACACGTTCTCTGCTTTGGGACGGTTACTGCGTCGCATGTAGGCTGTTCTCTGAAGATAAGAATACGTGTTAATTCTCATGACAACTGTACGGGTAAACACTAAACAGCTTTCTGGAAGATCATGAGAAGATAAGAGATTTGGTTAAATTAACACAGCTTGATGAGTTGCTGAGTAGAGAACAATTCAACATATTATCTGAGAACTGGGTTATAAACAATAGTGACTATAGTTACTATGGTTACTATCTAGTTACTATAGTTACTATACTGGGTTTGGTTAAATTAACACGGCTTGATAAGTTGCTGAGTAGAGAACAATTCAACATATCTGAGAACTGGGTTATAAATAATGAACCCTAAAATAACTAACAGCATTCTCCCATGTTACTCTCCAAGAAGTGATGTAACTGCTTATTAGTGTCCATTACTAAAAGATAACGTGCAAGGTTGACGGAGTAACCAGATCTTATTAAGGGGGCAGCCGGCAGGGGGGGGGGGGGGGGTCCCTTAAATCACTGCCATGTTAACTAGTTTAATAGGTAATAATATGGCCTAGTATGCTGGGATGTTATTTCTACATCCGGCCACCTTGGTCTCGACTCTCGTTTTATTGGGACTATGTAGTTGTTGTTGTTGTTGTTGTTGTTGTTGTTGTTGTTGTTGTTGTTGTTGTTGTTGTTGTTGTTGTTGTTGTTGTTGTTGTTGTTGTTGTTGTTGTTGTTGTTGTTGTTGTTGTTGTTGTTGTTGTTGTTGTTGTTGTTGCAGTATCATCTCTTAACAATCTCTCCGATATGTTGGAAATTCCCTCCGAACCGAAATCGATTTCCACTGTTTATTTTAACTATGGAGTAGAAGGATCAGCATTGATTAACCTAATAGCTTACAAAAGGAATTACTAATTAGTTTAAAATGTTTACTTAACCATTCCGTGGGTCAAGACCAATCGTTTTCTTACCACAAAGTTACCTTTGTAGACCAACAAGTGGTTCGTTCTGTGACTCGTTTATTTGTTTCTTAATTATCTGACGATTCCCTTGTTCTAGTATTGTTTTGCAAAAGATGTGATAACTGTTTAGTTTTAGCGGTTGTAGTAAATAGTTCCTCATGTTAACCTTTAAGAGTTAGTAACTCGGTTATAGGATGGTCGGTTTATGCCCAAATAAGGGTAAAATAATTGTATCTGCGTGTAATATTACATAGAGTAGATAGCATAGTTTCTAAAGAATGTAGATACTACATATTTGCTAAGGAGTGCCGTTCAATCACCAGCTTCATCACCTGTTACCGAGATACAAGAAGGAACAAAATAAACCATTCTCCGATTGCATTTCTTTCTTAACACAATTGCATTCGGTTGTATAAGTCATAACAGCGTCAGCGTCAGTGCGTTTAAACAGGTGTACTTCAGTTTAATATACAGGACTAGTCACTACAGTTAAATAGATTGAGCACAGTGATGTCAATCAGATTTATGTCACCACTTGTTTTACCCTGGTAGTACCACTACGGCACTTTAACCACTGTTGTACCAGGGTTACCCAATAACTTACTCGCTTGCATATTAACTAATTAACTATCAATTAGTTGTAAAACATTTGATAACTTCAGCTGTTTTAATTAAGTTTTTTAAATCTCGAACGCAAATTTGTGAGACATTCAAAATTATTGAAAGGTATTTCGTGAATTCCCTTTTTTGGTTGAAAATGTAATATGATATTAAAATTATCCAGAAAGCAAGTTTTTAGTCTAAACCAAGCTCTGTATGTTGCTTTTAACTCTCTTACATCTGGTCAACATATTATCTCACTGTGTTTGAATCTGTTCTCTCAATATCATTGGCATGATTTATGAATATACTTTACATTATTTGTATTATTAATTAATTGTTATTATTATCTGACTGTTATACTTCGAAAATGTTTTAACAACAAATTACTCCAAGACAATGAACACAGCAGATATAGCGCTAGCAATTGTATGCTTCGTTTGCTTTGCTATAGGAACTCCAGCCAATGTAATCTCACTTAGGTACTTCCTGAGGAAGACACACACAGTCCCCACCTGTATTTACATAGCAGTCACTACTCTAGATACCTTCACTTCCATCATGGTACTCCCAGTGGGTTAGTCAACTGTTCATATTAAGATATTAATGAGGCTTTTTAGTGTCTGCAAATTCTTTTAAAGACTTGAAAATATGGAAGACATTTATTTTACCATAATATTACTTTTTTAATGAGTAAATATTCATCCAGTTGAATATTTAGGGGCTGAAATTCAATAATTATAGATTTATAGATTAATTATAGATATTATTATTATTATATTATTAAGTAGTATAGTAGTAGTAGTAGTATTAACTAAACTTTCTCGCAGGTCTGACTCTAGCAGGTAACAGAAACAGTCTGATGTTCTCAAACAAAGTGTTTTGCTCAGTTTGGGGTATCACCTGGGAGTTTATCCCTTACTACACTGTCTTCCTAGTCTTCTGTCTCAGTGTCCTCCGAACTATCGCTCTTCTTAGGCCTCTCACTACTATCTCTAAGAAATGTGTGGTGGGTGTTCTGATTGCTTATGCAGTTTTCCTGATCTTACGTCAACTTATGGGAGTTTTTCTGGGGTACAGTAATTATCAGTTTGATGAGAATTCTGGGTACTGTTGGAACTACATTTCCAACCAAGATTATCAGGTAACCAGTATTACAACCATTACAAGCATATTTAAATGTCTTCACTCTTCAAGTTAGAGTTACATTGGGGGCGAGAGGCCACCATATCGAGATTAAAGGACAGATGTTTCATATCTTTAGTAAATTTTTAACTATTTTCTAATCGTCATCATATTATATTATTATAATCATGACCAAACCACTGACTCAGGTATCAGACGTGGTATTCTCTGCTGTACAAGTTACATTCCCCATAATACCCATCATAGTCAGCTGTATAGCCTCAACACTAGCAATCACTCTCTCCACTAAAACCACCAAAACTTCCCCCTCTGCCACCAAGATGAAGAAACAAGCAACAATAACCATTATCCTCGTCACTCTTGTGTATATCCTGTTCAACATCCCTGCTGTTATCAACTATACACGGTATGTTGTAGCAGTGTACCTCACTGGGGAGGACTTCCTGGCTAGTGATACCAGCACTAGTGTCTTCTTACAGAGGTATATCTGGTTGCTTGTGTTTGTAATGACAGTGGCTATCAACTCACTGGCTAACCCTGTTGTGTACTTCATGAGGATGAAGACGTTTAGAGCTGAAGCTTTGAAGATGCTCACAAAGAAGGGTGGCAGAAACACTAGTAAAATGTAACTTTTGTTTTCCCACAGAACTGCAGAACAGTAGAAACCCTTAATTTGCAATATTGTAATTGACTGTACTTGTAAACACGTTAATTGTCTTAGCAACTGATAAATTTGAAGTATGAGACTCTACCAGGAAGTTTGAGACTTTATATTATTTGAGACCCTAGTTTAATTGAATGTCCTTCGAAGATTTTTGTTACTGATACTGTTTATTCATTTAATCTTTTTATTTCGTTTATAATTTCTTAATTACGGATTCTTTTAATTCGTTCAAAACACAATTATGGAACGTGCACGATTCTCAGGCAAAAGAATTGATTAATCGACTTATAAATTATTTCAGAGGACAGAGGGCGGACCTCATGTTTAAAAAATGTTTTTAAACAATTCTACTTTTCATCTATTCGAATTAGTTTTGGACACAATAATTACATACTTAGAGTAATCTTCAAATTTATGATTTTCCCTACAACATAATTACAAACATTAAAGCTGACACATTTGGGTTGGCTATTGCTCAATTTAAATATAATTCTCACAGTGTTCAATATTGGCACATTGCATCTTTTTGTCGTGATAATTTGTCAGCATGACTGAACAAATTCCAAAGCGGGCACAAAACGCTAGCCTCTAGCTCCAGCTTTAGCCTCTAGCTCCAGTCGCACTGGCTTTTTAACCTATAATTTGTCGGTGATGCACTCTGTTGATTCGATTCTTGCTGGGATTTGTTTCTTTTGTTTTGTTGTAGGCATACCAGCTAATGTGATCTCTCTCAAGTATTTTCTGAGGAACAATTTCTACATTTCAACAAGCATTTACATTGCAGTCTCTGCCCTTGATATTCTTACATGCGTTATGGTTCTTCCTGTAGGTTCGTATCACTATTATATATATTATATATTATTTGTTATTTCAACCTTCTTTTAAAGGAGAATCCTTAGTTTAAGATCGCGTTTTTGTGGTTGTTTTTTTAGTTGTTTTTGTAGTTGTTTTTTGTAGTTGTTCTTGTGGTTGTGGTTGTTCTTGATCTTGTTGTTCTTGTAGTTGTTCTTGTGGTTGTTCTTGTGGTTGTTCTTGTGGTTGTTCTTGTAGTTGTTCTTGTTCTTGTAGTTGTTCTTGTAATTGTTTTTGTAGTTGTTCTTGTTTTTGTAATTGTTTTTGTAGTTGTTCTTGTAGTTGTTCTTGTAGTTGTTTTTGCGGTTGTTTTTGTAGTCGTTCTTGTAGTTATTTTTGTTGTTGTTTTAGTTCAAGAACTTGTTGTTTTTATTATCAAATTAACGAATAACACTCCATAATTAAAGATAACTATTAACTAAACTTTCTCGCAGGCTTGACTCTAGCAGGTAACAGAAACAGTCTGATGTTCTCAAACAAAGCGTTTTGCTCAGTTTGGGGTATTACCTGGGAGTTTATCCCTTACTACACTGTCTTCCTAGTCTTCTGTCTCAGTGTCCTCCGAACCTTCCACCTGCTTAAACCCCTTGTCAATGTGAAGAGAAGGACTGTTATTGGTAGTATGATTTGTTATGCAGTATTTCTGATGGGGAGACAACTGCTAGGGGTAGCTCTGGGGCACAGTAACTATCGGTTTGAGAAGGAGGCCGGCTACTGTTGGAACCAGATTAACAATACCAAATATCAGGTATAAGTTATAACGGCTACTGTTGGAACCAGATTAACAATACTAAATATCAGGTATAACGGCTACTGTTGGAACCAGATTAACAATACCAAATATCAGGTATAATGGTGAACTTGGCTATGGTATATAATTTGATAACCATCTAATACAGCTTGCTATCTGATTCCGTAAAAAATCAATAAAATGTTTAAAATTAAAATAATATTTTATTTCTCCTTCTATTTCAGATATCAGATGTAACATTCTCCACTCTTCAACTAGCCTTCCCAATAATCCCAATAACTGCCAGCTGTGTTACCTCAACTGTACTAATGATATTTTCATCCCGTACGACCAGAAGCTCTACAGTCATCACCCAGATGAAGAGGCAAGCAACCATCACCATCATCATCGTAACACTCGTCTACATCATATTCAACCTCCCTGTCTTCCTCAACTATACCAGATACATTGTTGCAGTGTATCTTGGAGGTAAAGATTTCCTTGATGGTGACAATTCTAACCAGTTTCTACAGAAATATATTTGGTTGCTGAATTATATTATCACGGTTTCTCTAAACTCGCTAGTTAACCCACTAGTGTATGTTTTGAGGATGAAGAGGTTTAAATCAGAGGCAATGAGGATGTTTAAGAAGGAATGCTGTAGCTCCCACGTGAGGATACGAGTGAGAATCCCTTCCAGCAGAACAAGTAACCGATTCATTACAATCGGACAACGTACTCAAACTAGAAAAACAAGTGTGAGCGAGATCCACAAACTCCCAAACCAGAATGTGAAAAAAAAGAAAGTGTTAAAAGTCAGGATCAAGAAGGTACATCAAAGGAACAAGGTAACCAAGGTAACATTTACCCGGAACTCAGAGTAACAAACCTGGGGAACCTTGATCTTCGTATGGACAAATCGGAGTAGCGATATTGCCTGATTATTAGAGACGTTTTATGTATTCAAGCTTTATATTTCCGCCTAAATCTTTATAATTATGGTGCAAATATAATAGTAATGAACATAATATTATGTCAGGACAGACTTTCTGTTAAATGAAAGGCTTTAAAGTCTAACGACGCTAATACAACAAACTTGTTAGGCCAGCCCTACGAGCAACAGGATTTTCAAATTGATCTGTTTATTAAGGGTATGAATCATGATGTTGTTTAATGTTTGCTTAATATTTACTATCATTATCTAACGATAATTTAATAAACAATCTGTTGTAACAACTATTTCTTCAATAATTGTTGCGCTGTTATTTATTAGTGTCTAATATACTATGTTTACAATCATTACTGAACGATTATAAAATGAACTATCCGTCATAATTACTTCTACAACCTCTATTGAATTAGATAATTTACTCATGCAAGATAATTACCTGGAAGTTAGAAGACTGATGATCAGCAGTTGACCTAGAGACGGGCTCAAGACAGCTAGCAATGTGTAACAGTGATAAGTTGGTACTCGGACCAAACAGCATCTGTTTGTAGATCTCCATAGCGTCGTCTACAAAGAGAGGGAACCTGTTGGTTAACAGACCTATGTTCTTTACACAGCTTACCTGGGGAGGCAGAAGTTAGAGGATACACAGCTTACCTGGGGGAGGGAGGGGTTAGAGGACAGCTTACCTGGGGGAGGGAGGGGTTAGAGGACAGCTTACCTGGGGGAGGGAGGGGTTAGAGGACAGCTTACCTGGGGGAGGGAGGGGTTAGAGGATACACAGCTTACCTGGGAGAGGGAGGGGTTAGAGGACAGCTTACCTGGGGGAGGGAGGGGTTATAGGATACACAGCTTACCTGGGGGAGGGAGGGGTTAGAGGACAGCTTACCTGGGGGAGGGAGGGGTTAGAGGACAGCTTACCTGGGGGAGGGAGGGGTTAGAGGACAGCTTACCTGGGGGAGGGAGGGGTTAGAGGATACACAGCTTACCTGGGGAGGGAGGGGTTAGAGGACAGAGCTTACCTGGGGGAGGGAGGGGTTAGAGGACAGCTTACCTGGTGAGGGAGGGGTTAAGGTTAGAGGACAGAGCTTACCTGGGGGAGGGAGGGGTAAGAGGACAGCTTACCTGGGGAGGCAGGGGTTAGAGGACAGCTTACCTGGGGGAGGCAGGGGTTAGAGGACAGTTTACCTGGGGGAGGCAGGGGTTAGAGGACAGCTTACCTGGGGGAGGGAGGGGTTAGAGGACAGCTTACCTGGGGGAGGGAGGGGTTAGAGGACAGCTTACCTGGGCCGGGGGAGGGAGGGGTTATAGGATACACAGCTTACCTGGGGGAGGGAGGGGTTAGAGGACAGCTTACCTGGGGGAGGGAGGGGTTAGAGAATACACAGCTTACCTGGGGGAGGGAGGGGTTAGAGGACAGCTTACCTGGGGGAGGGAGGGGTTAGAGGACAGCTTACCTGGGGGAGGGAGGGGTTAGAGGATACACAGCTTACCTGGGGAGGGAGGGGTTAGAGGACAGCTTACCTGGCGAGGGAGGGGTTAGAGGACAGAGCTTACCTGGGGGAGGGAGGGGTTAGAGGACAGCTTACCTGGGGGAGGGAGGGGTTAGAGGATACACAGCTTACCTGGGGAGGGAGGGGTTAGAGGACAGCTTACCTGGTGAGGGAGGGGTTAGAGGACAGAGCTTACCTGGGGGAGGGAGGGGTAAGAGGACAGCTTACCTGGGGAGGCAGGGGTTAGAGGACAGCTTACCTGGGGGAGGCAGGGGTTAGAGGACAGTTTACCTGGGGGAGGCAGGGGTTAGAGGACAGCTTACCTGGGGGAGGGAGGGGCTAGAGGACGCCAAATTAAGTTTAGTTTGAAAATGTTGCTCCGAATAATAATATAATGCTCTAGTGATGAGGAGTGAGGACTCCTGATAACATGAACAATATAAAACAAACAAACAAACAAACAAACAAACAAACAAACAAACAAACAAACAAACAAACAAACAAACAAACAAACAAACAAACAAACAAACAAACAAACAAACAAACAAACAAACAAACAAACAAACAAACAAACAAACAAACAAACAAACAAACAAACAAACAAACTAACAAACTAACAAACTAACAAACTAACAAACTAACTAACAAACTAACAAACTAACTAACAAACTAACAAACTAACAAACATGAACAATAATATGACGTTGTGTTAAGAAGACCCACCCCCCCTGCCCCCTTAAGAGAGTGACTCACTCGAAGAGGAACTCGCAGAAGATCAGGAGTTTTGAGGTTAACAGAGGTGTTGAAGAGGTTGTTCAGTTTCTGATAGTGCTGATAAACAAATGTCTCGGTTATAAGCAGTGTTGTCACGTCCAGACACTCACACAGAGCCGAGATAGCAGCTGTACTCACACAACTTGACCGAGATACTGGGGAGGGAGCTGGGGTTAGAAAGGGAGTTGGATAGTCAGATTATTTTAAATAGTATCGTTTCATCTCTGTTAATTTGATAATATCGTTCAAAATTAAGACGTATCTAATTTAAAACTGGGTTACCTATATTTTGTTGCTTGAACTTTGGATACATCCGAGCATTTTCAACATCAATAAAAGCTTGAATAGCTGTGAATATGCTCAAAAGCAGATCTTTGTCTTCAATCGAATCGATCTGAGTTCTGAAATTGAAGAAATTATAACATCAAACAGAATTAGATACCTACGTTCAACTAATTTGCCTATTTACATATAAAATCGGTTGACTACGTTCAATATTACATCTTCCTCAATAGAAAGTGAAATGAAGGTACCTGAAGAGCTGAAGAAGTTTATTAAGGAGCTTGTGAGGGAGTGTCTCCATAGGATGCGGAGGATGAGACCTGGAAATAGAGAGCCACGTGTCTGCTAAGATAGTGAACTCGTCACTTCTTAGCAAGTTCAGAAGGGAGGAGGTTGTTAGGGAGATTATCTGCTCACATACTGATCCTGCAATATTACCGTTAGATAGTGCGTTGCTTATATTTCCTTCTATTATACAAATGTCCTTACATCTCCTGCTATCCACTCAAAAGGATCATAATCGACAACAGATCATACCTTTTAGACAACAACTTATATCAATCAGTTGTATTTATTTCAAAAACGATTGCGCACACGTGATTAGCATAATCCAGTAAGAATAGTAAAGTAAAATAATACAAAGTAAAATATAACATGGTAGTGATCGTACCTGGATTATCTTGAAGATATTTGCCCATACCGTCAATCAGGCCCAGAAGAGAAGGGGCTGAGAAATTCAGCAACTTCTCACTGTCTCCCTCCTTTACCAGGTCCTAAAATTGGGGGTTCAACTTTTTGTTCACAATGATATAATATATTTAAAATGATATCTAAAATACGATCTTACAATTGAAACCCAATTGAAACCCGTAGTATGATCGGTGGCCCATGTTTTATAATGTTAATTTTTAAGAGTAGCTGATAACTTATTATGACTCACAATGTTGAGGACAGTGCCGAGTAATACTCACAATGTTGAGGACAGTGCCGAGTAGTACTCACAATGTTGAGGACAGTGCCGAGTAGTACTCACAATGTTGAGGACAGTGCCGAGTAATACTCACAATGTTGAGGACAGTGCCGAGTAGTACTCACAATGTTGAGGACAGTGCCGAGTAGTACTCACAATGTTGAGGACAGTGCCGAGTAATACTCACAATGTTGAGGACAGTGCCGAGTAATACTCACAATGTTGAGGACAGTGCCGAGTAGTACTCACAATGTTGAGGACAGTGCCGAGTAGTACTCACAATGTTGAGGACAGTGCCGAGTAGTACTCACAATGTTAAGGACAGTGCCGAGTAATACTTACAATGTTGAAGACAGTGCCGAGTAATACTCACAATGTTGAGGACAGTGCCGAGTAGTACTCACAATGTTGAGGACAGTGCCGAGTAGTACTCACAATGTTGAGGACAGTACCGAGTAATACTCACAATGTTGAGGACAGTGCCGAGTACTCACAATGTTGAGGACAGTGCCGAGTACTCACAATGTTGAGGACAGTGCCGAGTACTCACAATGTTGAGGACAGTGCCGAGTACTCACAATGTTGAGGACAGTGCCGAGTAATACTCACAATGTTGAGGACAGTGCCGAGTAGTACTCACAATGTTGAGGACAGTGCCGAGTAATACTCACAATGTTGAGGACAGTGCAGAGTAGTACTCACAATGTTGAGGACAGTGCCGAGTAATACTCACAATGTTGAGGACAGTGCCGAGTAGTACTCACAATGTTGAGGACAGTGCCGAGTAATACTCACAATGTTGAGGACAGTGCCGAGTAGTGTCTGTATACACTCAGTAAGAGACGAGTAGACTTGTTCCTTGTTCTGGTTTACTTGTAACAGAGTGTTACATATCTTACTGCACAGCAGGAACGCTACATACTCCTCCTCTAGCTTTATCTGGGGATAGTATTGAATAGTGCTTAAAACGGGGGTAAGTACTTAAAAGGCGCTATGGCACAGTGAATAGTGATATGTATCCACAAAAAACACAGTCGAAGCTCATCCCATCTCCTAAATGTAAAGTGTAGAAAAGAAAAGAAGAAGTAAAATCCCGAAAACGAGCACATTAAACATTAAACATTAACCTGGTTTTTGGACAAGTTCCAGTGAAGTTTAGGAATACACTTGACAAGGGAGATAAAGTAGATCCCAAGTTTGTCATGGTGGCTCCCTCCTGACCGCGTCAAGTAGCTTGCTGAAGCGCACACAGCAATGTGTTGTCTGAGGGAAGATACTACGTTAGTGAAGTGGAAACATAACAAATACTTTAGATAAGTAGCATACTTGCCATCGCAACTAGACTGATTCCATATTCTTCAAAAGAATCTGATTAAAATAACATGTTTCAATGTGAACGACTAGCTCACCTAAGAGAGACGGTACAGGGAGACATGTCTACCCGTGGACACAGAGCAATAATGCGCTGTATCTGTTTCCATGGCACGTCAGGTAGCTGGACTAGCGAGTCTACTAGGTGAGAAAGGGAGCTCTCGTAGAACTTGTACCCATGTGCCATGCAGCCTCCTATACAGGGGGGGGGGGGTTAGTTGCAGCCTCCTATACAGGGGGGGGGGGGGTTAGTTGCAGCCTCCTATACAGGGGGGGGGTTAGATGCAGCCTCCTATACAAGGGGGGGGGGGGGTTAGATGCAGCCTCCTATACAAGGGGGGGGGGGTTAGTTGCAGCCTCCTATACAGGGGGGGGGGGGGTTAGTTGCAGCCTCCTATACAGGGGGGTTAGATGCAGCCTCCTATACAGGGGGGGGGGGTTAGTTGCAGCCTCCTATGGGGGGGTTAGTTGCAGCCTCCTATACAGGGGGGGTATGGATGCAGCCTCCCTATACAGGGGGGGGGGGGGTTAGTTGCAGCCTCCTTACAGGGGGGGGGGTTAGTTGCAGCCTCCTATACAGGGGGGGGGGGGATTAGTTGCAGCCTCCTATACAGGGGGGGGGTTAGATGCACCTCCTATACAGGGGGGGGGGGGGTTTAGTTTGGCAGCTCCGATACAGGGGGGGGGGGGTTAGTTGCAGCCTCCTATACAGGGGGGGGGGGTTAGTTGCAGCCTCCTATACAGGGGGGGGGGGTTAGTTGCAGCCTCCTATACAGGGGGGGGGGGGTTAGTTGCAGCCTCCTATACAGGGGGGGTGTTAGTTGCAGCCTCCTATACAGGGGGAGGGGGGGGTAGTTGCAGCCTCCTATACAGGGGGGGGCGGTTAGTTGCAGCCTCCTATACAGGGGGGGGGGGGGTTAGTTGCAGCCTCCTATACAGGGGGGGGGGGTTAGTTGCAGCCTCCTATACAGGGGGGGGGGTTAGTTGCAGCCTCCTATACAGGGGGGGGGTTAGTTGCAGCCTCCTATACAGGGGGGGGGTTAGTTGCAGCCTCCTATACAGGGGGGGGGGGTTAGTTGCAGCCTCCTATACAGGGGGGGGGGGGGTTAGTTGCAGCCTCCTATACAGGGGGGGGGGGTTAGTTGCAGCCTCCTATACAGGGGGGGGGTTAGATGCAGCCTCCTATACAGGGGGGGGGGGTTAGTTGCAGCCTCCTATACAGAGGGGGGGGGGTTAGTTGCAGCCTCCTATACAGGGGGAGGGGGGTTAGTTGCAGCCTCCTATACAGGGGGGGGGGGTTAGTTGCAGCCTCCTATACAGGGGGGGGGGGGTTAGTTGCAGCCTCCTATACAGGGGGGGGGGTTAGTTGCAGCCTCCTATACAGGGGGGGGGGTTAGTTGCAGCCTCCTATACAGGGGGGGGGGGGGGTTAGTTGCAGCCTCCTATACAGGGGGGGGGTTAGTTGCAGCCTCCTATACAGGGGGGGGGGTTAGTTGCAGCCTCCTATACAGGGGGGGGTTAGTTGCGGCCTCCTATACAGGGGGGGGGGTTAGTTGCAGCCTCCTATACAGGGGGGGGTTAGTTGCAGCCTCCTATACAGGGGGGGGGGGTTAGTTGCAGCCTCCTAAACAGGGGGGGGGTTAGTTGCAGCCTCCTAAACAGGGGGGGGGGGTTAGTTGCAGCCTCCTATACAGGGGGGGGGGTTAGTTGCAGCCTCCTATACAGGGGGGGGGTTAGTTGCAGCCTCCTATACAGGGGGGGGGGGTTAGTTGCAGCCTCCTATACAGGGGGGGGGGGGTTAGTTGCAGCCTCCTAAACAGGGGGGGGTTAGTTGCAGCCTCCTAAACAGGGGGGGGGGGGTTAGTTGCAGCCTCCTATACAGGGGGGGGGGGTTAGATGCAGCCTCCTATACAGGGGGGGGGGTTAGTTGCAGCCTCCTATACAGGGGGGGTTAGTTGCAGCCTCCTATACAGGGGGGGGGGTTAGTTGCAGCCTCCTATACAGGGGGGGGGGTTAGTTGCAGCCTCCTATACAGGGGGGGGGGTTAGTTGCAGCCTCCTATACAGGGGGGGGGGGTTAGTTGCAGCTCCTCTTACAGGGGGGGGTTAGTTGCAGCCCTCCTATACAGGGGGGGGGGTTAGTTGCAGCCTCCCTATACAGGGGGGGGGGTTAGTTGCAGCCTCCCTATACAGGGGGGGGGGGTTAGTTGCAGCCTCCTATACAGGGGGGGGTTAGTTGCAGCCTCCTATACAGGGGGGGGGGGTTAGTTGCAGCCTCCTATAACAGGGGGGGGGTTAGTTGCAGCCTCCTATACAGGGGGGGGGTTAGTTGCAGCCTCCTATACAGGGGGGGGGGGTTAGTTGCAGCCCTCCTATACAGGGGGGGGTTAGTTGCAGCCCTCCTATACAGGGGGGGGGGTTAGTTGCAGCCTCCTATACAGGGGGGGGGGGTTAGTTGCAGCCTCCTATACAGGGGGGGGGTTAGTTGCAGCCTCCTATACAGGGGGGGGGGTTAGTTGCAGCCTCCTATACAGGGGGGGGGGGGGGTTAGTTCGTTAGGGTGAGTATAGGTTTATATCTGGACTGTTTGAGCTGGTTGGGGAAGTTCTAGTAGAATATACAAACTTCGGTTTCTAAAAATGTTTTTATTTTCTGTGACATCGAATGTAAAATAAGTAAAACGAAATACCCTCATAATATAAGTAGAATTGAATGATTATTTACAAAACATACAAAATGCATAAATAAGATAAACGGTAATCAAGTAGCTGAATTCTGCTCGGCCACATCTAAATCTAACGTTTAAATAAAATATTACGATAATATGTCATTCTATAACATTGATGATTTCTTGCTCACATTAAAAAATAAATACAAAAACCCACAATTTACAACATGGTACAGATCGTAGGGAAAAATTCCCAAATAGACCGAGTGGATTGTGGAATTTAGATCTTCGTTTAACACTCTATCTAAGTAATTAGTAAAGTACTCTATCTAAGCTTTCCAGTTCAATTCTCAAAGAATAAGATCGTCAAAAACATTATTCAAAGTAAATGTCAAAACTATTATTGTGCAGTATTATAACACCATGATTAAACGTTAATCCTCAATATAACATTCCTCCATACCACTGAACTCTAATCTCAATTAGTTAGTACCATGCTCTGTAGCTCAGTTAGAAGCGTTATATATTTCCCCCCTCTCCAGGTAATAGTCAAACTTCTCACTCGTTATCTTTAGCCGCCTCCTCGTGTTCTCTTAGGATGTTATCCCAGGTTACAAACTGCTCAGATAAAGTGTTCAGGATTTCATTCCACTTACCTACTAGTTCGTTAATCTCCTTGTTAACCGCCTGAATTATTAGTTAATTAGTTAATAGGTAATTAATTAGTTAATTATGCGATTAATTAGAAAATAAGTATGCGATTAATTAGTTAATTAGGTAATTAACTAGTTAATTAGGTAATTTATTAGTTAATTAACTAGTTAATTAGGTAATTAATTAGTTAATTAACTAGTTAATTAGTCAATTAATTAGTTAATTAATTAGTTAATTAAACCTGCAATAACAGGAACATTTGTTATGGAATGTAAATTTAATGCTCACTTTAATCTTAATCTTAATGAGTTCCTCCACAGTGCATTTTAAGTATGCTCATATTTCATACCAATGGATATATAATTATTCAGCAGTTTAATTAAGTCTGGCGATTATAAGTTACCTCCCCATCGTCATGTAGTTTCAGACACTTCAGAGTGAGAGGTCCCATCTTCTTCTCGAGTTCGGGCACATTCTTCAAATTCCCAGGATTAACCTCACTCTTAAGATCAGCTATCTGCTTTGCATCTGATGCTGCTTTCTGGAAAACGAGTGAAAATCAATAAAAAGGTGTGTTTTTTACAGAACATATTTCCCAACATGGAACAAAAACTAATTATTTAAAAATTCAAACTTAAATACTGATTATTTGGAAATGCCCGAGTTCATGTGTGAGACTGGAGTAGGTTTGAAAGTGTTACCTGCATGCGGTTGGTACTGCCAACAACGTACTCTTGCTGAATGAACTTGGAGGGATCATACCGCATGATAAAGCCGGGGTTTGTGTAGGTGGACAGTTCGTTTAGTCTCTTCAGTAGAGCTTGTGTTTTTGGGTGCTTGCCAAGCATCTTGTCCACCTGACAAGGACGTGTTTGTTACTTGTCTCTATGTAGTACCTAGAGGCTCTTACGGGCAAAAAAACGGGGTTTCTGCTATGAGTTTGGAGACCTAACCATTAATTGGACACAATAGTATGATGTGTAAGGATCGAGAATATGTTAAGAAATATAAATATGGCCTTATAAGTCACGTGCTATAACAATGCGCGTTTTAAACTTTGACAGTCTATAACTCTTACTCTTAGGCCAATAGAGTAATTATATTCATATTTTGTCAGCAATAAGATCACACTGTTTTCTATTTGGTGTGAAAATATGAGCTAGAACAGACATCATCTCGCTGAGTTGTAGCTGTTTGAAATTGTTGATGAACGCGCGGGTGCCCATTGATAACAACTAAATGCTTTTGCGCGTAGTACGCGTCGAAAATTTGGCAAAAACGCTTGCGGAATTACAATATTCAAACTTCGATAAAGTATATGAAGTGGGTACTTCTCGGAAAGGAAAAATTGAGGCAAACACGATGTGACTATTTTTGGGTTGATTTAGTACAACTGCAGAAAATGATTCAAACTTTAAGCAAAAAAGGGCACATTTTCACCACCTTTTTGGATGTTTACCTGGGGAAAAATAGAGGGATTTGTTTAATTTTTATACCATCATGTGCGGCTGTATTTCAGCTATTTTCATGCAAATTTTGCTGATATGCCAACGAAATTAACTTGCTCAAAAGTTCAAAAAACATGGTTTTTTGGCCTATTTTTGGCCCAAAAATCGGTTTTTTGCGATTTTACCCGGGGAAAATCAGTCCAATCATCTTGAAACCGCTTTAAATCGATTTTGCGGTCAAAAATACGTCTAGTAAGGTGTATCTGGGGTCCCTAGCCTATCGAGCAGACAATGCCCGTAAGAGCTTCTACTAATGGTAAAACGACTTGTTACTGCTGTTTCTATGGTTACTGTTGTTTGATGTTGTTGTTTTTAAGTGCGATTTGGAACTTGGAGTCAAGTTGCAAGAGCAAAGATGATAATATTTCCATCTTGTAAATTTTGACAGGTATCAAAAAATCAATAATAGTAACCTTAGTATTGAGCTCCTCTAATATTTTCACAGCTTCTTTCTCCGAAGCATTTTTACCATAGATTCTCTCCAGTTGCTCCACTCTGTCCTCCAACATTGCTAAGTCTGTTGGTGTAACGCCTACCATATTGCTAACGGGGTATTATCTTTAATAAATTTGTTATTATCATTAGAATAGGATTAGTACAGGTCAGGAAGTAAATGATTTTTGGGATAATATCCGGTAGTAGAGACTAAGTAGGACAAGTGAAACTACTGGTTGCGTTTTCTCCTAAACAGTAGTTTCACTTGTCCTACCTAGTCTCTACTACCGGATATTATCCCAAAAATCATTATCTTATCATGAGACTGATAAACAGCGAACCTCTCCAAGATATTTCTTCAGGAAGCAGACACTGCAGGTAACCCAGAATTTATAATGACATACTAATGAAATGAGAAATAACGACAAAATGAAACGAAAGCCACTCATTAATAATACCAAAATATATTATACTATCGAGTAAAATTTGATTTATGTGATAATATGTGCTATAAAAGGTACAATAAACAAGTAACAGCCTACTGCAATAAAACATCGTAAAACACCGAACACCGGACCTGTAGTTAACATTTGAATATTCCGGGATATATAATATTCTATATACAATTACAGTACTATATTTATTTACACAATGTGCAAATTCCAAAATTGGTCCGACTCTAAATTAGTCTGTGTGTGTAATCAGTGTAGCTTGTGTTGCAAATATCGAGCTCTCTTATCTTTTGTAAATTTGCAATAAGTTCAGTTTGCTGCTACCGTGTAGTTTACCTTTGCGTGTGTACTTGTACATTACTATACAAGTACACTATGGGGGATGACCCAACTTTGACCCGATCCCAGGAGTTGATTAAGGAGTTCAACTATGATCAACAGGAAGATGTGGAAGGCTGTGTTGCACGCTGGTCCGATAAGTTAGAAAAAGACCTGCATATGGACTACCGTGAAATTGACTACGAAAGTCGTGAAAAGATCAAGACTAAGGATAAACAGACTCTGTCTGGCTGGATTGTGGATGCAGTAGACCTTGTTCGTCGGCAGAATAGTCAGATGTATCTCTTGAAGGAGATCATCGAGTGCTTCAAGACGGAAGCACTAGCAGACAAAGAAAAGGTGATCAGACTGCAGGGCCAGCTGCTGATGCAGAAGGACGAACAACTACAGTTGCTTAAGACGTCTGTTGAGGAGACAGTCCAAACAACGGTGGAGTCAGGGATTCAGAACTATAGTGCAGCTGTTCAACAGAACAGTGCAAGTGGTACGGTCTGCAACAGTAAAATCCTGAAGAAGGTGATGAAGAGTGTGGCTGCAGAGGAGGACAGGAGCAAGAACCTGATCGTGTTTGGGCTGAAAGAAGAGGAGGAAGAACAGCTTCCAGCGCTAGTTACCGCAGTTTTGGAGGAGATCGGGGAGAAACCTCACTTCGAAGCGACTAGAGTCGGTTGGAAGAGGCCAGGTAGTACGGCTATCCGACCAGTCAAGATCACCGTCCCAAGCTCAACAGCGGTTCATCAGATTCTGATGAAAACAGGGAGACTGAGGGAGAAGCACAAAGATGTATGGATATGTCCAGACAGATCCAGCGAAGAACGAGCAACAAGGAAGCATCTGGTCACTGACCTGAAGAAGAAGAGGGCAGAACAGACTCATCTCGACCACTACATCCGGTACGGGAAGGTATGTAGCCGTGATAAGAAGTCATCATGAGTTACACTCTCGGACACTGATCAGTATATATGAAGGAGTGATGATTATTTTAAGAATTTTCAGACGTTATCTGTATTTAAGAGACAACTATATATTTTGAATATTTTATTATTTGATTGTTTCACACTTTTCATATTTCATAATTTTATTACTAGGTGGAGGTGATGTTATTGAGACTTTGGGCGGCCATAAAACTCCTGTTTTGAAAGTTGTCCTCTGTACTTGTTTCACTGACCCACGCTTTATAGCATTTATACATTTCGGCCCATTTTATATGTTTGTTCGACTTGCTGTACATTTGTATATTTGCTATTTTGTAAAAGTTTCAAATCAAATCAGTCTAGCTCATCTGGTCTGTTATTTTCGGTGCTTTAAATGACATATAAACCACACCATAAAATACTTTCTGCAGATTACAGATGTAGACCTACCAAAACAAGATAGTCAATGATATTTTAAATATCTCTAAAAGTCTAAATTCGTTAAATTCACAGAACCGTATAAACTATAATAATGTGTATTATAAACTAGAGACTATCAATAATTAATGGTAAATACAAATATTTCGTGCGTTCTCCAAGCCGGCGAGTTTCACAAAATCCACCAAAATGTCTTTATAATCATCTTCCTCCTGCATCATCTTATACACACTGTACAAACACAAACTTCGACCTAACAAAACCTTCAAAGTTCCCAACTCCTCTTCTGTGGGTACAGGTTCTTCCTCAGTCTTCTCATCAAACACACACAACTTGTTCTCATCAAGTAGTTTCTCACACTCTTCTATCGGCCACCAGGTGTGTTTCTTGGGGCAGGTTAAGTAAGAAGGGTAGAACTTGCTCTTATATTTCATCTTGGGGCACGTGTGAATATAGTAACCCATGTAGTACCACGCAATATCTGGGTGTCTAGTGTTCATTTGTTGGGTGAGTTGTATCTCAAACAAAGCAGATAAGGTCCCAAAAGACAGAGCACCGTAATCAGGATCATAGAAGAAGTAAACAGAGGAAAGACAGCGCGGCAGTAAGTCTAACACCCCGACTGCAACCAGTTTCCCGTCAAGGTAGTACTGGTGATGGTACCCCCCCTGCTCATCTTCCTCCTCCCAATTAAAGGGAGGTTGACAGAGAAACCTTTTGTAGCTTTGTTCTTTGCACTCGTCTGGAGTGTCGTTGTGGATGGCCATCTGGTACTTTTGGAATACCTTGTGAGATTCGCTGAAGGTTCGGTTAAATTCGCTTTCTGCGTTGTCCCTGTCTACTGGAATCAGTTTTATTTCTAGTCTCTTGTTGGCTATGGCTCGCGATAACCTGGGGGATAATTCAGTTAAACAAAGTAAGATAACTTTGCTTTGTATAATATTATTTCTATCATTAATAGTCATTATTATTATTAAAACGTTCTGAACACCAAAAAACAACCTCATATCATGAAGTAGTAAACCCACCAATACCCGAGATATTATCAAAGTAAAACCTGCTAAGTGTCAACCTTTGCTTACACTGTTACAATTTATGGGTTGATGATTTAACATGTTGAATGATCGCTCCACAAACCTGTCAGAAAGAGAGGGTGGATCAGGTTGGGACCCTAAAGACCTCACGTCCATTTCTTCCCAGGATAAATTCTTCTCAGCAGCTATCTTCTTTAGCTTTCTCAGCCTCCTGAAGTCCCTCTTCTTTTTAGAGTCAGCTAGTTGAGCGCCTGTTTTAAAACATTTAGGTTCAGTAGTTTCGGCTGCACTAGATGTGGCTGAGGTTTTGTGGGTGACATGGTTAGAAATAGGTTTACCATTATCAACTGGAACTGTTGCTTTAACATCAGGACTTATTTCCACATTGTGGGTAACAGAAGGGTGTTCATGATGATCATTTGCCACATCAGTCACATCCGTCGACATCTGACCACGTCCACGACTTGGCAACGAGCCAGGCTTACTATTTTCTAAATACTCAATAAAATGTCTCAGCACTTTCTTCTGACTCCGTGATATCCTGAATAACAGCGCATTGCACTTGACAGTGTACTGAGGACAACACGTCTTCTCCATGCTGGGTTTATACATGTACATTCCCGACCGTCTCCAGCCTCTGTCAATGAGTGCATTGTAGCGGTGGGGGGAAATGAAAGAGAGGTAGAGCCCAGTGGAGATGTTAGTAGTTTCGTTCTGACAGTACCCGCAGCGGTGCCCCTCTCCTTCGCCGTACCAATACCCTGCCGTGTCAAATGACATGTCACATTCTGACTGCGGATAAAAGAATGTACAAAATAAAAAGAAAGCAATAATTTTGCAACTAACCATGATAGATGGTGATTGATTTAAGCATTAAAAAAATAATTTTGATTTTAACGATGATTTGGAGCATTTAAAGTATCACGTTGAATATGAATCTCACTACAAGTCATACTAAGTTTCTCTAAAAAGTTAATTCTCAAACATGTAATTTTTCGTCAATTTCTAGACTACGGTATAATATTATCAAGATAAGAATAAAATCTATAATATAACCTGTAAATAAGTTTTTAAAAACTTCAGTCCAAAAATGCAATACTGTACAATGTCAAGCCCAATCCAATTATTTCGAACAATAGAAAGAAATCAGCAGGAATTGGACTTTCGACCTGCGGTTAGAATGTTTTGTCGTTTTGGCAGTTTGAAAATAGCCAGCAAGCGGCTGGGATTCTAGACTATCTAGCATATTGTTTTATGATTTTAAGATGTACTATCTTATTATCGATATCGGGCATGGAGTGGACTTAAGCTACGTTTTACTAGGGTAAACTTTGTGCAAAATACAAGAAAATCTTATTATTGGAACAGGAGCTGATTAAAGAAAAATGGAAATTTTCAGAAAGTTGAGGAACGTTCAAGTTGCAAGGACTACAAACTCCATCCAATTACTAATCCCAGCACTCTCTGTCGATTACAGAGAAAAAGTCAACAAACCCTTTGTTCTTAAGATAAAAACTTAGCTCTTATTTTCAAAAAATAACAGTTAGGATACTGAAAGTTGACAATACTGATTATATTTTAATGTAAATGCTCTCAGCAACATAATAAATTAGATATAGATTGGAATAAAAAGAGTTCACTACTGAACTATTAAACATAAATTCAATCAAAAATGAATGTTTTGGTCACTGAAACTGATCAAGCATTCAGTAGAAAAATAAAACAATATTAAGTAAAAATCAAGTAATTCTCATTTTATCTCTGAAACATTATCATTTATCATCCCCCTACCTTTCCTAATTTTATTAGTAAAATCCACATAAAAGTTTAAAAACATTTAGTACTGTACATCCAAACAACGATCAATAGTAGTCACATCATAACAGAACTGGCTACAACACGAATGTAATTACGGAACAAGAGCATTTGGGAATGCAAGTTTATTAACCAACTGGGTTAACAGACCCTCCTCAGCTTCATTTTGTGACGTACTAGACTCTGATTTTCGTGGTAAGGAAGACACACTTCTCCTTTTATCGCAACCATTCTTTTTCAGTTCTTCAATGTAATCTTCTTGAATTTTGGAAAGAGTTTGAAAAGAAATAGGACGCATTGAGAATCTGAGTACCATACAATCAACATCTTGCTTCACATAACCATATTGATTCAGAGAGTCAAGTTTAAGAATAAAGTCTGGAACAGGAACAGTGGTGTACTGATTGGAACCAAACTTTGACAGGAACACAGATTTCTTGTTGGCATGTTCATTGCCAAACTGATTGACTGCAACAATCTCCACACAGAAATCATAAACTGAGTTTTCAGATAACTCTTTTGGTTCGGTCAGGATAATAAAGAGTGAGACAATCTGTTTGTGAGCTATGTCATCTGTAGCCAGCCCTCCAGTGTGAACTTCTAGTTTGAAAGACAGATTACAAAAGTTCAGGGAAGAACTGTGAATGATTTTATCGTTCTGTGAAAGATAGGTGAAATTGTGCAGACAAACAGTGGTCTTGCTAAATGGTGGACCAAATTTCATTGCATTCTCCAAGACTTTTCTGTCCAAACTAGGTGCAACATCTAACGCTTCATATTTCATAGCAGATGAAGTACAAGGGTCAGTTTTTTGTAACAAATGTAAATTGGCCAATGTATCTTCAATACCTTCCAATGCCTCGACAGCGATAGGTGCTTTTGTAACTTCCTTCAATTCATGCAAAGCAACATTAAATGTATCAATTTCCTGTTGAAGAATCTGATTTTTTGAAGAAAACTCTCTTCTACCACTTTCATACAAGAGCATGAGCGATTCAGAATAAGTTTTATGCATTTGCTGGAAACACTTGTCTCTTGTTTTAGTGAATTTGTGGAAATTCGAATGCAAACCTTTCTGAATGTCCAATATGTTCTTCAGCCTCTGCTCAAAATCATTTTTTATCTCCAAGGCCTCATCCTGCTTATACTGACACACTTCTTTGAAAGAGGAAATTTCGTGATTTTCGTGGTCATGTCCAAACAAAACACAGTTGCTACAAATAACAATTTTACAGTCATTACAATACAGAGAGAGCTGCTCTTCTGGATGAGTTGAACAAGTTGTTAGGGATTCGGCGCTGTCAATGTCTTCTGCAAGCTGTTCAACCCAATGACAATTGATGAATTGATTGATATCCCTAACATAATGCCGACAAAGGGGGCACCTCTTGCTGGTAGTGAAGCATTGCCTTATACAGGAAAAGCAGAACATCTTTGAGCATGCTGGGCATAGTTTAGGGTCCTTGACTGTATCCAAACAGACACAACACATCAGGTGTTCCATGAGTTTACTTCTTTCCTTTGAGAGCATGATAACATGTATCTGTCCTGTGTGAGAAATCGTTAAGTAGTTATATAAAATCGGGGGAATACCTCTAATGATAAATTTGGAGTTTGATAAGCTAGAAATGAATAATATTAATAATAAATCTTTGCAGTAACACAATTGAGACAATTATGGCCACTTATTGTGGCCAGCATTTGTGTCCTGTCAATGAAAATATTATGCTCCCTGTTGAAGTGTCCTGGTATAAAACCTATCTGAGTGACTGCATTCAAATAATTTACAAAATTATTTTAAAGAACAATCTTAAGATTTTAAGGCAATTTAGAGATACATACATGCATCAAATGGAACAAATGCAATCATCTAAATTTCTAGATAGCCCCCGTGAGATATAGCTTCATATTCTATGGCTATTGACTTGTAGTGTCGTTTCAGGTAATGATTACACGACTACACACGATTTTTTTGGTAATGAGCATGCAGAAAATATTTCTCGAAACTTTTTATCGATATCAAATTCAAAGCTGTACAACTAAAATCAGGTCGAATTTAATTGTTCGAATAGAAGAGCATTAAACAGTGTACTAGACAGTTGGTCCATTAAATACAGAGTACAGACATATTCGAGATCCGGAGTGGCGCTCGATTCCTAAGACTATCTTTCCATTCATAATAGTGAAACAGTTATAAAGGCTAACTTCCAATCAAGGAATACTAATTTTAAGGATTAAGTCAACGCTAATTACATGGTGCACATACATTACTTCATAAGCAATGTCTTAACGGGTGATACTCTTGACGGATGTTACTCGTCCAAATTTCTTCGAAGTAGCGCGCGCCGCTTTCTTCTCGAAATGTTATGGCCCGATGGCAAGAGCTACGAAGTAGCGCGCGCCGGGTCAGATCATTAACAATGGTCAAGTGATACTCGTAAAACATTTGTTTCAAGACCACGTCGACGAATCCAACTCGGCGCACGTCTTGGAAGGTTATAAACTTAATTGACGATGTCAATTCATGGCAGCTCGGCGCGGCACAGTAGCGCATCGCTGTGAGAAGCCTCATTGAGTGCACGGCTCAGCACATTAACGCATCGCGCTACAAGTTATAAACCTACAAGCAATGTCCTGTTTCTATTATTTATTTATTTTACTCATAAATTTAGTTTACATAAATGCGGGTACAAAGTATTCATTAACAATTTACAAAGGATACTCGTTTCGAATATTAAACTGTCGAGGAGTCTAGAACTCGGCGCCGGGCAATCATCTTGGTTGCTATTATAAACACAAAAAGTATTTAGTACGATTGCGTGCGCAACACCAAGCTTGAATTCCATCTGAAAATAAAACATATACAATATAAAATAGTAAATTTGATTGACGATGTCAACCCTTCCAGATCGTAATTGCAAAGCAAAGCAAAGCAACGATCTTGATGCGAAGCAAGAATGCAAGTTGATGATGATGCGAAGCAAGAATGCTAGTTTGCACGGCGCGTCGAAGCGGCGAAGTCTATATAGTCCTCCAAATAGTGAATCAAATATGAATCATCCGTCGCAATGATAAAGTTTCGTAATGGAATCAGAAAATTTTAGAAGCAAAATAATTATTGCATATTGGGAAAATTTCGGTCGTTAACGCAATACAGGGCGTGGACACTGCAATGCTAATAATGGAAAATTCTGTGGCGCAAGTTTCATTTAGCTACCCAATTTATATGTGACATGTACAATGTTATTGTATTAAATTCAGATAAATAATCGACGTTAACATTTTGCATTGCCCATATGGCCATATGCCATGATAGCCTCCAGAAGAATGAGACTGGCTGGACATGTAGCCAGGCAATAATAATAATAATAATTCTATACTGTTACATAATTTAAAAATTATGGCCCCTTATTGTGGGCAGAGTATGTGTCTTTATTTAAGTGTCCTGATTTAAAATCATCTGAGTGACTGCATTGAAATAATTTAAGGAGAGTACCATAAAAACGTTAAAACAAAAGGAGTAACAACTAGAACATACTTATATTAATATCAACATTAGAACAAAATACAGTCACCTAATTCCCTTCTCCTACGGTTGAGTATAGAGGAACCATCTTTGGCGTGTATTAGGGACTTAGACCATTACAAATACCCTGCTGTAAGTTTGCAAGGTATGTGGACTAAGTGGGTCGAGAGTACTCGACTTGGAAGTGGATGTTGAGAATTCTCAACTAAACTAGAAGATAATGATGTCCAGAAGATGAGGCAGTAGATGGAGTAGTAAAGGAGTAGTAGAGGCTGAAGGGGGAGTGATGTCATAAGGAGATGTAGGACATGAAGGGGGATGGAGGTGAAGGAGTACTATAAGTATAAGTATCAATTCTATGATAGTTCACCGATGGCGATCTGTGCTAAAGATCGGAAGGCAGTGATGCTGCCATCACTACCATCTCTTAAGATAGACCAGCATGGTTGGTCATTAGTGGAGTGCTCTTGAATGGTTTCTCTGTAGGAACAGCGGTACAGTGGACAAGAGAAGATTCGATGGTAATTGTTGTCCAACATCTGACAATTCGGACACTGAGGGTCGCAGTTGTTGGCAACCCTTGCCTTGAATGCTGTGAAGGTGATGTCATGGCCATGCAAGAGAGACATTACTTTAGTGTCTGTGCTCCTGCTTGAATAGCGAGGAAACAACTTTTTGCTCCTCTCATCGATGTTATCCAGTATCTCACCCGGATTTATTCTAGGGTTCAGTAGGAGATGTTTATTCCAGGTGAAGTCCATAAAGCGGGTTATTTCGTCTTTTGAATAGCTGACAACACCGTTGTGGACACTAGTCAGAAGGTCTATTCTGCTTCTGTTGAGCTCGTTGGACCCCCTTGTCCACGTTAGGAACTTACGTATCTCATCAATATGGTGCTGATATCGATGGGCCTTTGCCTCCTCTAGCTGTAAGATGAGTCCTTGCATAAATGGGTCACTTGTAAGTGCTTTTATTATGAATTTTATAGTGATCATCTTGTAGGATATCTCAAGGGGTGGAATTCCAAGCGCGACAGATGTCAAATCTTTGGGAGGATGGTGAGTGGATCCACTTATTTTCAAGAGGACCCTGGCATAGAAGTCTTTGAAAGTGTCTAGGTTATCTTTTAGCCATATTGGAGCAGCATATAGAAGTTTTGTGAGTACTACTGTTTTGAAGAGCATTTTGAGTGAGCTTGCATTCAGGCCTCTGTGGCGGGTGGAGTTTTGAGTGATCCTGTACCAGGCAAACCAGCATTGTTTCAATTTCAATTTTGCGTGACTCTTGAACGTAAGTTTGTCGTCTATCCTCAGTCCAAGAACAGTTGATTGACATGTATATGTTATGGGTCTATTGCCGATAATGAGTGGTCCAAAGGCTGTGACATCAGGTGCAGATGAGGATGTTGGTGTGATCATAATACACTCAGTCTTGTTTTTGTCGCAGTTTGGGATAAGTTTCCACTTACTGCACCAGACATGAAGGTACTTGCACATCAACTGCATAATTCGATGAGCACATATAGGATCTATGTGAGAGACTGCTATGCTTCCATCATCAGCATATTTGAAGAGGCTTGAGTTAGCCAGGCATGACGACCTTCTGGCAAACCAACTTCTGTTCTGGGACCCTCAGCATGGATACAGGAGACCGGGGAGGCCCCACCTTACGTTTCTGGACATGCTAAAGAAGGACACCAGCCTGTTGAAGAGATAAGATCTGTTATGCTTGACCGCGACGTGTGGCGAGGAATTGTAGTTACTCGGACCAAGAAGCCGACTTAAGTCAGTATGCCATGTTTCTCCAGCGAAGCATTTTAACCCTACGTCATGGGGGGGGGGGGGGTGCAGATTCGGAATCAGCGTCCAAAAATACACCGAAACAAATCAATTTCATACCCAAAGGGCCTTTTCACAAGAATTTTCTTCAAATTTGGGCGAGCGATTTAGTAGGAGCGCAGAAGACGAGCTATAAGGTCTTTTAAGTTTGTTTATGTAATTTATAGATAATTTATTGTAGCTTTTATATTGTGTAAAATTTTACGGACGAAATGATCCCAGGGGGGACTCCTGCTCACTGCTGCTCACTGCTGCTCACTGCTGCTCACTGCTGCTCACTGCTGCTCACTGCTGCTCACTGCTGCTCACTGCTGCTCACTGCTGCTCACTGCTGCTCACTGCTGCTCACTGCTGCTCACTGCTGCTCACTGCTGCTCACTGCTGCTCACTGCTGCTCACTGCTGCTCACTGCTGCTCACTGCTGCTCACTGCTGCTCACTGCTGCTCACTGCTGCTCACTGCTGCTCACTGCTGCTCACTGCTGCTCACTGCTGCTCACTGCTGCTCACTGCTGCTCACTGCTGCTCACTGCTGCTCACTGCTGCTCACTGCTGCTCACTGCTGCTCACTGCTGCTCACTGCTGCTCACTGCTGCTCACTGCTGCTCACTGCTGCTCACTGCTGCTCACTGCTGCTCACTGCTGCTCACTGCTGCTCACTGCTGCTCACTGCTGCTCACTGCTGCTCACTGCTGCTCACTGCTGCTCACTGCTGCTCACTGCTGCTCACTGCGGCTAGTAAAACATGATCATGAATTCGATTGTTTAGGGCTCGGGTTAGGGTTATGGTTGTGGTAACAGGTATAGTAAGGGTTGAAGGGTTATGGATAGCTTCGGGGTTCCGGTTATGGTTAGCGTTAGGGTTGGGATTAGGGTTTATGTAAAAACCGTTTTGTACGGCTGCAAAACCATAAAAACCAAAGTCACGTGAAATTTTTGGGCGAGCGAATTAGTAAAAGCCGCAAATTTCCTTTGCCTCAATATAAAAATAACTTCTCAATGTGAACTAGTGGTCTTTTACCTTATGCAGCGCTTGATTTTAACTACTCGATGTGAACTGATTTTAGTACCTTATCTTATTGCTTATACAGTCGATCGTTGCCAATTTACCGAAAATGCTTGTATCACGTTGTGACACCCACAGTCGTTTCACCTTTATCGTCCTGACGATACAGTGGGAG